ACCCGCACACCAAGGCAACAGCCATGCCGCCATTTTGTTTCGCCGGGTCTCGCCTTCAAAAGTGCAATCAAACCATTGCACGTCCACGTCCACAGTTCCAGAAACCCCAACCTAGACCCCAAGATGTAAAAATAAATTCCCCATTTGCGAGCACGTAATTTGCCAACAGTCTACGGCACAGCCCCCAATTGGTATTGTGCACTATAATTTACTTTTCATCGACCTCCGTCTGAGTGTCTGACTTCCCGACGAGGGCACTTGCATGTTGGTAATCTTTATTTAAATGATTTCCATGGGCTAAACTTTGTCTGTGCGAACTGCAAATTTCATGGATTGTACAAGAAAGCTGGTTGAATTTGACAGAGAATTATGAAGTGACTTCAAGTGAATGAAGTTGCAAGTTTAACAAAAGAAATCAGTATTGTTACTATATTCATAAGGCTAATAGAATATCCACTTTGGTTTGTTACAAGTATAACTTGCAAATATAATAAACCCTTTTATACTTTTAAATGATTTTTAAAAGCACAATAACTATTTACTTTTTTTTAAATAATAAGAAATAATTTGTTCCCATCCTTGAAACTGAATACTTGCCAAGCTATTCAAATGAGAAACAAGTTGACTGCCACTCAACTGCGCACAAAATATTCCTGCTGCTCTGATGGCGATGTTCACATAGAAGACCCCTACAGATCTGGAGCTACCCCTTTTGTAACCCTTCGACAGATTTTTCCTGCTGCACTCGAAAAATACAAAATAATGTCGCCCACTGTGCACAGCTAAGCAAGTTCTGATTCTTCGGCTCGAAACTAACAATTTTCGCCACATGAAAAAAGCAGAAGCCACACAAAAAAATACGAACCCCTAACGAGCTCTGAAATTATTTTTAGAGCAGTGCCGCAAAAAGTGGCAAGTAATGCAAATATATCTAAGCCTGCAAGTGGCTCGGGGAAACGCCTCGAAAGAACTTGCCTTGGAACATCAAATATTAAGCATGCGCCATGTGGGACAAGTACGAACAAAAAGGACAAAGAGCGAGCAAAATAAAAGCAGCTGCAAAAGGAGCGCAGACAAAAGCGCACAAGGATAATGGTGATGATGATGGAGTAACTGCAATTAGGCATAATAAACAAAAAGTTACATTGAGGGGAGTGAATTTCAGGATTTGAGGAAACTACATAAACGCAGACTTAATTGCTGGTTTTTCAAGCGAACAAACCCCGAGATCCCTGCACTTTTCACGTTGCGACTTCCTTTTTTTTTTTTTTTTTTTGCGCACTTGAATTGAGTCCTTTATAGGGGTTAGTCCCGTTTACAAAATCACGGCTCAAAAAATGGCTACACATGGTGATCCTTAATAGCAACCCCTCGCCAAGCACCCATCTCAAATCGGACCGAAAAATAGAGCAACTGTCCGAGCTGCAAAATGGTCGACGTCTATTTTTTACGGGGGGAGGAAAACATGCCCAACAATTTGTATCTAATAAACTGCCATATGCAAGCCACTGGCTTATTAGACCCGAAATGTTTGATTGAGTTCAACCAGCCGGCGATATGAGGGTGCCCAGAGCAATATTCCCCTGGTGGTGGTTCCGATTTTCCAGCTCTGCCACTGTTGCACTTACAAGTTGATTATGTTGATTTTTTAACCGTTCTTTGTTCGGCTTTTTTATTCGACTGCCGTTCAAGTGTAGCCAAGGGGGAGTGGGGAGATTTTTATTAAATATTGATATCTTATGAAGTCAGCGACACGTAAAAGATACATCAGATAAGCTGGCTTAATTAAGCTGGTTGCGGGGCAGTTAGATAGATAGAAGAGGGTTTATAATAATGGGACCATAATTCAACATATGTTTTGAAATCCGAAAAATTTAGGATATAATTTTTAAAATTAACAAACTTTTTTAAGTCATCGGAAACTTACAAAAAACTGAATGAAAATGGGTCAAAAATTTGATCAACGTTAAATTGAAAATTTTGAATGTAGATTTTTAGAGAATCTAATCACGAGTCTTTGGAGGTATTACATTTTGGAATCGGATTAAATTTGGTAAAGTTATGGTCTCTCGAAGTCCAATTTTGAGTAACTCTATTTCAAGACATCGGAAAATAAGAAATAACTGACATGAAAATGGGTTAAAAATTTTATCAACGTTAAATTGAAAATTTTGAATGCAGATTTTTAGAGAATCGAATCACGAGTCTTTAGAGGTATGCCACTTTGGAATCGGATTAAATTTGGTAAAGTTATGGTCTCTCGAAGTCCAATTTTGAGTAACTCTATTTCAAGACATCGGAAAATAAGATATAACTGACATGAAAATGGGTCAAAAACTTGATCAACGTTAAATTGAAAATTTTGAATGCAGATTTTTAGAGAATCGAATCATGAATCTTTAGAGGTATGCCACTTTGAAATTGGATTAAATTTGGTAAAGTTATGGAATCTAGAAGTCCAATTTTGAGTAACTCTATTTCAAGACATCGGAAAATAAGAAATAACTAACATGAAAATGGGTTAAAAATTTTATCAACGTTAAATTGAAAATTTTGAATGCAAATTTTTAGAGAATGGAATCACGAGTCTTTAGAGGTATGCCACTTTGGAATCGGATTAAATTTGGTAAAGTTATGGACTCTAGAAGTCCAATTTTGAGTCACTCTATTTCAAGACATCGGAAAATAAGAAATAACTAACATGAAAATGGGTTAAAAATTTTATCAACGTTAAATTGAAAATTTTGAATGCAGATTTTTAGAGAATCGAATCACGAGTCTTTAGAGGTATGCCACTTTGGAATCGGATTAAATTTGGTAAAGTTATGGAATCTAGAAGTCCAATTTTGAGTCACTCTTTTACAATTCATCGGAAAATTAGGAATAACTAACATGAAAATGGCTTAAAAATTTGATCAACGTTAAATTGAAAAATGTGGATACAAATTTTTAGAGAATCGAATCACAAGTCTTTGGAGGTATGCCACTTTAAAATCGGTTTGAATTTACAATTCATAAAAATTTAATTTGCCACCTGAAAATGTTCTCATATTAAAGAATGTTCATTCCATGAAGCACTATATACTTTTAAATATTCCTTTCAACAGTGCTATAACTGCCAAGTCCCTCAATCCCCAGAAGACTTTAAGAATTGACCGTAGAAAATACAAAGTGCCCAGCAAAAAGGGGGAACTAATAATAAACAGCAGTGGAGAGCAATTGAAGTGACAACAAAAGCCAAATATTTACATTAACCAATGTACGCTAACCAGTAGCGCAAAGTGGAGGACTCCGCGAAGGACTCTCCACCGCAGGACAGCCCGCGAATTCGATTTCTCAGAGGGGAACAAAAAGAAACTTCTCTCACCCGCAAATCTTCGACTGAAAAAATATATTTGAATGCGGAACTCGAGCACTTGAGTGGGATGCAGGACTGAAAACGTGAATTCGGGATACAGGATACGGAATAAGCGAGGGCAGGCCGTAAGGACTCTGAGCAAATAAACAATTAAAATGTCACAACGATTGCCAACGTACCCGTGTCAGGAAATCAAAAAAGCAAAACCAAATAAAAAGCGAGTGAAACCGCAAAATGGAAAGTAGAAATCGGTAAACGCTTCCCTTATTTCAAAGGACTGCATAATGTGTTTTATTCAAAAGCGCATTTCACAAGGGTAAGAAGGTGAGGGAACGAGGAGCAACCACGTGGCGTTTTCAGGACGCAGCTCCTTGCTCACTGAGGTGAAGATTGACAGCGAGGGCGAGAGTCCTGCGAATCCTGCGACTCTAGTGACTCCAACCCAGCAGCACGAATCCCAATTAAAAATAAAGAAAGCCTACGCCAGCCAAGCAAAAGTTAAACAGGCCAAAATCATCAAGTTAAGTCAAGCTTTTGCACTGAAAAAAAATATTCTTAAACTGAGGTGTTGCCAGGAAAATTAATACCTTTGTAACTATAATACATTTTTAGATAACGTTATATTGGGACGGAGTGTTATTGAAATTGTTTACTAATTAAAAATGTTTAAAAATACATTTTTTTGTAATTACAAAATAAGGATAATTTGTGTAAGTTTTGAGTAATATATTTTATCCACGTGCAGGATCCTTCACCCCCATTCTGGACCACATTCTTCCTTCACGCTGGGCGTCTGTGACATTAACAATTGATAGACGACCGACGACAACAACTGAACATTTGAACATTTGACAGATTGTCGCGCTCAGTTGGCAGCTTCTAAGGACACTTTCCATTTCATTTCACACTCACACACGTCTGATTCTGATCCTTTGCCACCGCCTGGGGCAACTCACTCGCCTCGAGTGGCCCCGTTTTCCACGTTTTCCCCCGACTTCTCGCCTTTCCCGTACCCCTTTGTTTTGGGCCCACGTTCGCCAGTGGGCCAAGTGAAAAGTGGCAAGTGGAAAACCAGTCGAGTGGCCGGCTTAGCGGCTAGTTGGCATTTACCAGGCGCCGGCTTAAATATTTTAGTTCTTCTGGTCGCCACTTCGGGTCCCCAGGGGTTAATGTATTTTAGTGGGGGAACATGGAAGAAAGGATTTTCTTGACTTACAAACATAACTATATTTCACAATTTCAGAAAATATATAATTCAAATAGAGTAATTTCTTTTTAAATGGAAAATGCATTTTTCCTATTATGCCTTCATATGAAGTTTAATGTAAAAAATAACAAATAAACAATAACTAAATAACAATAACTGAAATACTAAATGGTATTTTTATCTTAAAGCTTGAAGCAAACAAACTTGTAGTTATACCAAAACCTTATTTAAACGGAAATGCTAAAATTAAATTTGTAAACTTTGTTAAACTTTGTATCTTATAAATTTGTTTTGTAACTTAAGACTGATAAAAATGGCATGCAATACCAAAATAGAATCCAATTAAAAAGCACCCTGAAATTGCTAATTTATCTGAACCTTAAGCAAACAGCCATTAAGATGCATAGATGAAAATCAAACACAGAGAAAACTTACCAATAAGAGGAGGGAAATGTAGCCAAGGCTTTTCCGCACGCTTTATTTGCCAGGATTCAAGCTCCGAATGTTTACGCACAGCAATTAATATCCCTTTTTTGATGTCTTCAGCTTAAGGTGGTATTGAGATGGAATTTCTTCAGGGAAATTGAATTTTCAAACGTTTCTTATATTTATATTTTGCGAGCTCACTTCAAAGAGTGTTTATTATTTCTGTAACTTTTTGTGTTTCACTAATCGGCTGGAGGTCAAATAAATGTTTATTTTAGGTATTAGATCCTGCACACACATACACATACACACAATCGCGAACCAGGACGAACGTTGAATTTTTGCGACCGCGCTTTTGAGACGTCAATTTCGGAATGTAAATATTTGATTTATGCGCCAAAGTAAATTAAGGCGAAAAACAAAAACGCAACAACGAAGTCGCGATGTCCTTTGGACGACGAATATAAAATATGGCGACGGCGAAGCAACGGTAAATTTTATCAATATGAGAGAGCGCGCGCTGTCTCTCTTTCACACCCACATTGAAATGGCATTATGCCGACGGCAAAGTCAAAAAAGGCAACAACATATAGCCACCCGACGCGCTCTCTCGCTCTCGCTCAACTGACAGCTGGAAATCGGGAGAGCCGCAAACGTCATTATCATGTAATGCGTCTCGTTCGCACCTTTTTTTGGGGGGTGGGGGATGAGAGCCAGTGAGAGAAAGGGGGTGTTTGTGTGTGAGTTGGTGAGTGTGTGTGCTATTAACGCCATCATGCTCATCATCTGCCTCTCTCCTCTCCCTCTCTCTTCATCCTGATTCTGCAGCTGCTGACTGTCCTTTTACTAAGCGCCTTGGCCCTACATAACCTCACTCCAATCTGGTATCCGTAACCCCCGTAACCTCCGCTTCGTCCCCATGGGTGTGTACATATTTGCACTGCAATTTGGCATCGTCGCGGGCTGCTGCTCTTGTGATTTGCCTCTTTTTGCGCTCCCATTTACACAGGTGAGTACAGTGGTAGTCCACATAAATGGAAATCCCTAATTTCGGAGGGCACCCAATTGATAATCAATTAAGAACATTTTTAAAAGAATATTAATAACTTTGCCGTTTAAAATACTAATTAAATTTAACTTAAAATTGTTTTATATTTATCATATCATATGTGCAAAAAAATGCATATCTAAAATTCTAATTTTCTAGTTTTAGCTTAAGAAAGAATTGAAGAATTTACTTTTGAAATTAATCACAGTATCTTAAAATTGCAGATTTAAGCACGCGCTTATTGTCCTGCTGAAAAGTATAGCATATCTTTCGGAGTTTTTACCAATAAAAGCTTGTGTGTAAAATTTGATGACTTAATTATTGCGTTGTCGTTGTTACAAAACGTATTATAATAGAATAATATACATTTTTGTTTACGTTAAGTATATAAGTTACAAATATTATATTTGTAACTTATATTATATTTGTAACCTTTCCTAATTCCCAGCACCTACTGTATTTTTTTAGCAGTAGTTTTCATTTGTTCCTATTTCACTTTTTTGGGTGCCCCTCTCACGCTCTTTCCGTCTCACTTCCCCGCTGGGCCATTATCGAAATCATAGGGCAAAGGAAAAAATGCCCTATGGAATCGAGTTTTTTGCAGTTTCCAGCGCGGCCATGTGAAATATGCTCCGCATCTGAATTTTCACCCGATTCCCTGACAACTAAACACAAATACTCACATGTGAGGCCATTGTTTCGCTGTAATAGAGATGGAGAAAGAGAGAGGGAGAAAGAGGGCAGGGAGAGATGTGAAAAGGTGAAACGGTTCTGCACCCTGGGAGATTTTTAATCAAATAATTACAGTAATTAGATGCAAGGCAAATGTCAAAAGCCTGCATGAAATTCCCATGCGAAGAGAAAACGCTATGAGAATTCACAATTGGCAACAGATCTCGTATTCCTCCACTTTTGGGAAGCGATCTGAAAAGGTTCCTTTCCTTTTCGTGAACTATTTTTGTTCATTTTGTTAAAGCTACAGTTCGAACTAAAGAGAACATTAGTTTGACCTTAGGGTCAGATAAAGACAAATCTATGATACATATTACTATAAAGTAAATCTTAGAGTTCTACTGTTAGATTTTTAAGCAAGAAACTGTTTAAAAGACCATTTTAAATTTGTAAGTATACTTCAGACATTTAATAACTATGGAAGTAGATTTTATAGGTATATACCTAATAAAAGAACCCATTTTACACTTTAACGAAAATATTTTTTAGAAATTACGCCAGCATTCCGCAGGCTGAAGATTCCATTTAATAATGACAACTTTTTCATAAAACTTTTCCGCAAAGCGCTCAAGAAATCAACTTTTTGCATTTTCCACACCTCAAGTGTCTGCAACAATAAAACGGAGGGAAAATAAAAGAGGGATGCTGGAGGCGAAGGAGAGGAGACATGGCATTCATTACAGCAATTGAAATGGACAAAAGCCAAAATTCAAGGCAGGAAAAAAAGACGACAGCACAAGTTGGAAAAGGGATAATAAAATGTTTGCATATAAAATATTAAATAAAAGACGCAATGAAGGAGCTGAGGAGGAGAGTAAGCCTTCTCTACATAGAACGCAACGAAATGAGCGAGCACACTGAAAGAAATTATAGAAAAGACATACACACAGTTCAACTTTTAAAAAAGCTAACATCTGCCAACGAAAAAGTTGAGACTAAGTTATAGGATTCATTTACTATGGGAATTATTAACTATATAAACGTTCCCATCAATGCTTTTAAAATGCAAAGGCTTGAAGTTTTACAATAGTTTTTATTCCAAGTGTATGGGAGTTCCCAGGTTATTCAAATTTTAATTTTATTTTAAAAAAATTGGAGTCTTATAAATTGCGCTCGTCTTTTAGATCAAAAGCTTACATTTTTTATTTTAAATGATTGCTGTTACTTGACAAAGCTTACACCAAAATATAAATAAATTGAAATTATTTCTCGCCATGCACCTACGTCAGCAGCAACAACAAAATGACAGAGTCAGGTGGACCGAGGGATCCAGGTGAGTTTTTGGGTTCCCCGGCAAAAGGCTCAACGGTGGGTAAATAGAGCCCATCTATGTAAGCAATATGTGTTCATGTATGTGTTCACAACATAATGATGAGCATAAAAAACACGGTTAGTGGGCGTATCAAATGGGAAGAAGCAGCGCAGTCGGCGCACAAAATGGCAGCGCATGCGTCGCACTGCTCTTGCACCCATATTTTCGTATAGCCAATCGGTGGGTGTGTCCTCGCTCACCTACACATACACTTCTTTAATTAGCCTCGACATTTTGTTACTGTTGCTCTCTTGCTGTCTCTCTCTCGCTCTCGCTGGAAATTCAACAGGCACCCACACCAACTATTGCCGGCTCACTCACTCTAATAGAATGGCCATTCAAATGCATCGGCACTCCAAAAATTTGAACTTTACTTTTCGCTCAAAAACCGGCTTTTACTTTCGTTAAAAATAATTTAAAAAAAATACGAAAAAACAAAATTAGCAGAGCATATCTTCTTTGTGACAGTTGTGAATTTTTTCGGAAATTAATCAGCACAGCAGGATCCACGTCCACTCGAGAATTCAGGATATTGGAAAAGCGCACAATTTCCAAGTTGATTAATTTCGCACCACTGCATTGCAATCGTGTGCGTTCGTGTGTGTGTGAGTGAGTGGCACACGCTTCTTACCTGTCCAAAATTTCTATTTTTCGTTGGCTAACAAAGGCATCTCCACAAAGATACCACAAAAAGTTGCCAAAAAACGAAGTAACGAAATTTTCGCTATTTATTTGTGTCCTTTCGTCTGTTATGAATTAAGTGTCCTGCATGTGTGTGAGTGCGCTTTGTTGTTGCCCATCGCTTTGTCAGTCCTCAAAAATGTTACCACTGAAAATCACAAATTGCTGGATCAAAGGTGAAAAGTGGAGGGGGATTACCAAAAATAAGAAAGAAAAATAACTCAAATCGATGAATAAGGCTTTAATAACTGAAACAATGCCGTGAAAGTATGATCTCGGTTTAAGAATGAAAGAATATCATAATAAAAGGAACATTTTTATACCCAGTGAATAGATGACAAGGGATAGTTTTTAAAAAAAACTATTAAAAATGAAATATGAATCTCACACTATTTTAAATAAAGTTAACAATTGCTTTAGATTAGTTATTACTTACTAAGTCAATTGCTTTAATATATTAGATTATCTTTATATTTGTTTCATATTTAAATCCCTTTTATATTATTTAGCGCGTAAGATATAAATTTAAAAATAAATACATTTTCTTAAAAGTTTTTTCATTTTCAGTTTTTATTCAGTCCTTTGCTAACAAATGCATAGCGCAAAAGAACAAAAGTGCAGTACTCGCAAGAAGTAGATTCGTCATTTTCTACTTCATTTAATCATAAGGAGAAGGATTAAAAAACTATAGTTTTTCTGAGGCAACCATAAATGATAAATGTCTACTGTAAGTATGAAAATATGATTAATAAAATTTGAAAAATGTGTACAATGATATACATTTAAATAACAATTTGAAAATACGTTAAGTATTTAAGAAACAAGCATTCACATGGAAACGTGTTTGTCCCAAATACGGTCACTCCTAACCGATAGTCTCGACCGCTTGGCATTCGCCCCATTGACCACTTGGTCCATCTCTAAAAAGACACGTAAAGCAACAAAAATATCAAAATCACTCCGGAGTAAAACTATCAAATTTATGAATTAAATACGAATAGATAGAGAACCAAACACAATGGACGCTGGCGTGTGGTACCGATCCCTTCCCAGATTCACCAGATATTGGTTGACGGCCACGGTGGTATTGAGTATGCTATGCCGCTTCGACATAATCCCCATATATTGGCTGCATCTGGACAGAAATTTGGTTTTTGGGAAGCTGCAGCTCTGGCGCTGTGTGACGTCACTGTTCGTCTTTCCGATTTCATCAAACACCGCGTTTCACTTCCTCATCAACTGCTTCTTCATCGTGCAGTACAGGTAAGTCGGATGCGTAGTTAAACCACCTGCAAACTATATCATTGTGATATTACAGCTCAAAACTGGAGAAGGATCAGTATAGCCGAAGTCCAGCGGATTATCTATATCTGCTGATCGTCTCGGCAGTACTGGCCAATATCGGAGGAATGCTCTTCAACGTATATTTCCTCATGGACATGCTCGTCCTGGCGATCACCTACATATGGTGCCAGCTGAACAAGGATGTGACTGTGAGCTTCTGGTTCGGCACCAGATTCAAGGCCATGTATCTTCCCTGGGTGCTGGCCGCCTTTGAGTTAATTTTCCATTTGTAAGTGCTCTAAAGTGGTTTTGTACAAGGTTATATATAATGACTTCGATCTCTTGTAGCTCCCTGGCATCTCTAGTTGGCATTTTCAACGGACATGTCTACTATTTCTTCAAGTTCCAGTACTCTCAGGATTTGGGAGGCACTGCCCTGCTGGAAACTCCTCAATTTTTGTGAGTATAAGGAAGATAACTCCTTTAGATTGTTATTCCATTCCGTATCAAAACACCAACGAATTCAATGTATTTTCTTCGAATCAACTTCAATTTTTCCCGTCTTCTTTCAGGAAACGCCTTGTGCCGGACATTTCCGGCGGATTCGGTGGCTTTGGAGTGCCACCGGAGAGCAGAGCACCACCGCGACAGGCGCCCGAGAGTCCTTGGGGCCGGGGCATGACCTTGGGTCGGAACTGAACCCCCAACTTATCACCGAAACTAGACTAATTCCCTTTTCTATGGTTTGGTTTTCACTTTTTCTTAACCAAACTCTTATAACAAACAAAGAAGCCCCCGTATTTTTCAAACTATTTTTCAATCACCACTCGATTCTCTGGCAACAGCAATAAGTTAACATGTTAAGTGGTAGGATTGCATTGTGCATTAATGAAATTATATTGATATATGTTTGTACATATATAATCATTAAAAAAAGACAAAAGTACCTTGGTGTTTTGTTGAATTGAAATAGATTTTGTTTATTTATTGCCTGCCATTGCAGGGTATTTCCAAAAGATGGTAGACAAAAAAACGTTGTAATTTTGTTACATTTAAATTTATTTCGTTTAAAATTTCTATGCTAAAAATTTTACAGCGACACGCATCGTTCAACAATATATTTTTGTATTACATTATTTACTTTTCTGCTCATTTCTGTGAAGGGGAGGATTCTCTGATTTTTAATGGGGTTTTGCGTTTGCTTTTCATTTTGGGCTTGGTCTAAAAGTTACAACATTCCTCTTAAGATTTGGATTTACAAAATCGACGCATAAAATACTTAACATCTATAAATCGTTAATGGTTAATCATCTGTTTTTATGTGTGGGTGTTGTGTGTGTGTGGCATGAGTTTTCTTTCCTTTAAACATGTGTGGTTCTTAGCCGAACTAGGTGTCTATACATATGTATATTTAATTATGCGATATAGGGATTGCGATTCGAAATTCATCTGATATTTACATGTTCGGGTTGGGTCAACTAGGGTCTATAATCTCATACAATTAAGAAATCTTTCAAGTTGAACATTTAAACAATTTTTCTCACTTTCTTTGCGTGTTTCTCAAATTTTTTTGTGTACAGTTTTGTGTTTTTTTTTCTTTTTCTGGGGATGAACTTAGGCAACTAAACTAGAACGAAATTATGCTAGGCAAAAGATGAGGATTAGGGGGCGAATTGTGGACTCTATTTACAAGCTATACAAAATTAAGGTAAGTCTGCAGAGGCATCTGCCCTATTTACAGGAGAGAGGGGGATCGATTCCAGGCTCCAAAGATTGCAGGCGGATGAAATGAATGGATAAAACTAAAACTAACACAAATTCCAGGGTATACTTTTCACTATACGATAATATGTTTAGAACAGTGGTGGTTGTGTGATTTGGCAACTTAACTATTGCGAACAATACGCTCATCTTTAACTTAGGCTCCACGAATAAGCATAGCGAACGGTTTACGATAATCTTGCACTTTGCTCCAAGGCTTCGGGTTGCGAATATTTAAAAATAAAAAAGAAAAACTCTCGACATTGACGCTAAACTACTAACTAAATCTAATTCAAACCGGGTCTGCTGGGTGTGTGTGTTGTGTGTGCGTTCTCTCACTCGAATCTCTCGAAATGGGGATCGTTTAAGGTAACTTAATTGGCGATTGGATAGCCGATCTAAAGGGTAGCTGCTCCTGCTCCTGCTCCTGCTCCCAGTGGCTGTTCCAATGGCTTCTTTTGCTGCTGCGGAGATGCCGAAACGATGGCCGCCTTCAGTGTGGTTGTGGCCGTCTCTGCCGATATGTTGCTGGTGCTCTCGATCTCGATGGGCTGCTCCAGATCCATGTCCACGTACTCGATGGCACTGTCATCCTCCGGGTGCAGTTCAATGACTGGAAAAGAGAGATAGGTTAATGTTCGTCCCAGAAGCACTTACTAAAATGACTTGAGTTCGATTTGGCTATACATAAAACATGCACGAGTTCAACGACTCAATCACACATTATACGGTTCTCAAATGAATCTCATTGAATTTGCAATAACTAAACTTTGCATTCCAGGAAACCCAACTCACTGCTGTTGTTCAGGTCCAAGGTAGATGCTTGCTCACTCCGCTCCTCCATTTCCTCCTCGGTCTCCTCGTCCTCTTCGATTATGACATCGTCCAGGGCTTGTTTGGAGGGCGTGGTGGCCGATTTGGTGGCCGCCTGATCCAGCTCCATCTCCCAGTCGGTGGCATTGAACACCACCAAAGGCGAATTCTTCACCGAGCCCGGATTGAGCTCCGTTGTGGTGCCATTGTCCGCCACGATAATTGGCATATTGATGATATCGATGGGTGTGTCCTCGGTGATTAGTTGATTGGGCTTCGGCTTCTGGCCTCCTGAGGGATTCGGGGATGATGCACTGGTCGCTGGCGCCGGGGAAGTGGTTGCTCCGATGACCAGCACATTGGACTTGGGCTTGGTGGCCAGAGTGAGCGCCCTCATCCCGCTCGCCGCACTCGCCGGCAGGAAGACCAGGTTGTTCTTACCACCGCCCGCAGTGGCGAAGGTCAGAGTGGTGGGTTTGCTGCCCAAGCTCGGCTGCTTGGCACTCGCACTCAAGCCGGAAATGGTGGTTGTGGTGGTGGTCGGACTGTTGCCTCCGCTGCTCCCACTTCCCGTGGCCGGCTGGAGTATCTGCATCTTTTGTATGCTTATCCTATGCTCTCTCGCCGGCAGATTCGTGGGGGAAACGGCCGTGGTGGTGGTCACCACGCCTCCTGTCCCAGAAGTTCCCGCAGTGCTGCTCGTGTTGTTCAGCTTGTGAATAATGCTTCCAGCCGGCAGTTTGCCTGGCTGCAGGAATACCTTGCCGTTTGGCGAGCAAATCTTGATGTTTCGCAGCGCACTGCTGGGCACCTGCTTGATGGTGGCCGCTCCTCCCGAGCTGCTGGTTAGCTTGATGTTCCCCAGGATTTGGGGGGCTGCACCTGATGCCCCACCTGCTGCACCAATTACGGTTGCTCCACCTGCACCACTCACTGTCCCGCCAGTTGCACCCTTAATTTGCGGTGTGGTCACCTTTGCCCTAAAGAGATTGGCCGGCATTGTGGTCCCTGCCGAGGGCAGCGGTGTGATCAGCGTGTTGTTCAGACTACTGGCCGGTATATTCTTGATTATATTAACCGTGGAGGCACTGCTCAAAGGAGTGACCCTGGAATCCTTTAGCGACGACAGGGGACTGCCGATGGGTTCCGTGTAGGGCAGCAGCCGAACCGCTGAGCTGGGCAGTGTTTTCGGCTTGGCCTCGCCCTCGAGGATGTTGAACTTCTTGGGCGTGATCTTGGAGCCCGGTGGCAGGAGCGTGGAGTTGGTACTGGTGGGTGAGGCCACGGCGGGCCTCAATTTGGCGCCCATTGGCGGAGCTGGGATCTGTTGAACACTGATAATCTGCGGAGCCAGGGGAAGATTCGCGGTGGAGATGGGAGTGGGCGTGGTGGCGGCCGAAGGCGGCGTATCCGGATGCCTCTCCTCCACCACATACTTCTTAACGGGTGTGCTCTGATTTTGCACCTGCACCGGTGAGGCCTGCAGCTTCTCCTTGAAAACTATCGGTGAGTTGGCAAATCCTCGCGAGCCGGGCGTTGTGGGTGAACCGATTTCAGCGGCTCCCGATCCACTTTGCGGCCCATAGACCAAAGGTTTCATCGGCTTCAGGGGCTTCAGCGTGACCAGTGGCCTCAGATCGTTGAGGAAGGTGTAAGGGGGCGTGGCTGTGGACGTGGGCGTCGGCGTTGGAGGCGTGGTGGCCGCCAGCGTTTTGAGCGCCTCATCGAGCACATACTCCACATGCGGCTGTACCACCAAATGATTGGGCACCGTCTCCGCCGATTGCATTAATACTTTCTGTTGCTGGTGTTGCTGCAACTTTTGTTGCTGCTGATGCTGCAGTTGCTTCTGCGCCCGTCGACCACTTTTGGCCGGAGCTGCTATCCTCTTGCCGGGCGAAGCATCTCCCCCTGAGGAGGCTGCGTTCCTGCCGCCCAAAGGATTTCCCGACTGCGTCGATGGCGAGCCGAGGCTGTTGGTCAGGTTCCGTTTGCTGGCCAGTCGCTGCTTGTGCTTCATCTGCTGCTGATAGAAGTAGCGCTGCTGCAGGGTGCGGGGACTCAGCCGCTTCTCCAGGGCCACAGGTTCACCCTCCTCGGCGGCAGGATTGGCAGATGGATTGGGCTGCTGTGACTGCTGCTGGGGAATCTGCTGATGTGGCTGCTGCGGATGTGGCTGTTGCATGTGCCTCTTCTTGTTTGGCTTGCCGTCCACTCCACCCTCGTTCTCCTTGCGCTTCTGGGTCATCTTCTTCACCTCGTTGGGCACATCGGGTACTTTAAACTAAAGGAAGGAAAGGAGTAAATGGAAAGGGTGAAAAGTAGAAAATAATTGTAAAACCTAAAACATAGTACGACTGCTTTCAAAATAACCCCTTTAACGAAACTATTATTGAAAAAAAAATAAATGTATGTTACTATTTTCCATTTAAAATCTAATAATTTATAAACGCCTCATTTAATTCTTAAAATTAGAGCTAAGAGTCTTATAAGCTTTCCCATGTTATATAATCCCATTCAAAATCCAATTTGAACGGTTGGGAATGTTAACCCGCTATCGATAACAGTTTGTCGCCAACAGAACCTTAACAGACAAATTAACAGATACTCACAGTTTTCTGTTAATGGCAGTTAAAGTTAAATGGCTGATTAGCAAAGATATATCAACAAATAATATATAAAGATTGATAAACAGTCAATGTGGCACAAATAAAAGTAAAGTAGTAAATAATATTGAGCCAATCAACCTGGTTTTACTTTTCCCGCCCATTCGCCTTTCCTATTAGCATATAACACACCAATTGGAAGGGGTTTAAATGGGAGATTTTCCATCTTTTTGGGAAAAGTATGTTTTTTAGCTTCTTTTGGGGCATAATTCTCTATTTGGATTTGTATTTAGGGGGGAAAAGGTCTTTGCAACGTTTTTAGCGGGCTTCAAAAGCAGCCACCCACTCAATTTTCATGTCAGGTACAGTCTGCACTTTTGCTTTGGCCCACAGTCGAGAGCAAATTGAATCGCTGGGATTATGTAACTCACCGGCTCCTCCAAGATCACCAGGGGCTGATCCTGGTTCCTGCCGCTTCGAGGATATTTCAGGCTCATCAGCGAGGCCTGCTCCACGAGGGCTTCTCCAAAGTGGACCGCCGTTTCGGCAGGAGCCGCCAATTTGGCATTTTCCTCACAGGCTTTGGCCGCCAGATCATTGGCCGCGATACTAAGAGCTGTTTGCGGACTGATCCTGGGAAGAAGAGGATAGGGACGCCGTCCTTCGCGCGACCACTCCTGCCAGGTGTTGGGGCCACAAACGCTGCAAGAAATTATAGGTGCACACAAAACAGTATTACAGGGCTTTACAGGAGGTCATTCAAGGATTCTCACTTTTCGGCAATGGTGCACAGCTGCTCGTCGTTGGCCGCCCTCCGCACTTCCGCCCGATGGCGCTCCTGGTTGATGTGGAACTGCTGGCGCAGATCCTCCAGCAGTTTCGCCTTGGGTTCACTGAGGGCTCCTTGGGCGCGAAAAACGCTCACCACATGCGAATAGGACTCGAGTTCTGGTGGGACATGCAAGCGGGGACAAAGAGGAAGATGTGCGTTAGATAGGGCAGCTCCATTCGGGGGGCAATCCTCGATAGCTGCCGGGGATTGGGACAGACTTTCGTGGACCATTCAGCTCTCACCAAGTCGACGCAGCATGCCTCGGCACTCGTCCCGCGACATTTCCAGCGTTTGCGGCCACATCACGACTTCCCGTTGATCGATGTCCTCGGCCGTCGGCGATCCCTTGCTTTTCAGGTTGCTTGAGCTTTGGCCAATGCAGGATTAACTAAATCAATCCTGCTTAAATTAAACAAACTCCGAGGGCAGCGTTTCTAATATCTCATAGCCACTCACAGCGCAACGCGGACAGCGATGCGCGCAAGAAGAAGCAGCGCCAGCAGCCAAAAAGTGCGCGCTGAGCAGCACTGCCCGTGATTGACGTTCACTGGGAAACGGCATAACAGAGATGCCCGAAAGGTGTTACTGGATGTCTTAACTTTATTTACATAATTAAATAGAAAGTTGCATTATTTTAAATAAAAAAAACATAAATCAGGGACTTCTTGCTGCGATTTAATAAATTTTAACACATTCCCAAATTGAGAAGGTTAAAATCGTGAAATAAATTAATAAATAATTCATAAATTTATATATTAAAACTCATAAGTCACGATCAACTTGATGTATTTTTTATTATTGTGAATATTAAACACAAATGTCAATATTTAAAATTTAAACAAGCTATCATTTATTCAAAAAATGTGACTAGTTTCAGTTTTATAATGATAAATTTGATTTTATTTTTAATTGGTAATCTCATCCGAAATTTAAATTTCAATTACATTCAAAATAAATGGTGAACATTCATAACATATTTTTTCTTTTTTGACTTATCGTTGTAATCACTGGGAATCAGTCACAGTTAAATGCAACAATTGTCAGTCACAGGTAAGTTGATCTCTTAAAGTTAATATTTACATATATAGTATTGCATTATAAAAGAACAGCTCTTCCATATGAAAAATTTCTCTCACAGCTCCCTTCCCTCCAATTCACGTATTGCATCCTCCGACTAAAAGTAAACAATAACAATCAGTTTGACAACAATAGAGAACATATGTTTTTAAGACCTTTTTAAACCAGAATGAAGACATAAAGCTTATCTGGTTTCCAATGCCCATATCTGATGGTGGATATATTCCATGTAAATGTAGGTGGCGCACTGAAATAAATGGGGGCAAGTGGAATCCAATAACCGCTTTCGTAGGATCTATATTTTTTGATCTGAAAAACTCCATCATGCCCGCCTCCATTCGTTGAACTATGGATAAAAAGAAATAACCATTATTATGGATACCAACCACCTGAAACGTGGCTTATCTTACCCAATCCCAGGTGTGATCTATTCAGAGCCTTCAAGCTGTCGAAGTGTTCCTTGGGAATCGCCAAGTAATGATGCTTTGCCGCAGGATATTTGTCCTTGAAGATTACGTATTCATCCGTTTCCACCTCCAAAACAGGAGGAGGTCCTTTTCGGTGGTGGGCGAAGTCGCAGAAGAAACAATCGCGGATTACGGATACTGATGAACGATTGGATCCACTTTTGTAGATCGACACCAAAACTATGAGGCCCAGGCCAGCCAGGCCGGCTATATATAGTCGCTTTCGTTTCATATTGCTTTCACACATTATATTTTGCGTTTAATTCTATGAAAATTTGATTTTAAGATCGTTTTTGGTTATTGAAGTTAAGTAAATTGATAAGATAGATTGAGTAAATATTTTTATCGGGTATTAACCCTTTAACATATGAACGGTCTTACTTTGCCATTCAAGAGGATTCAAATCAGAAGGCGGGAATTTTAATATTCTCAGTAATAATCAATTTACTTACTAGAAAATTTAAAAGGAAGAAATTATTTAGAACCAGTTATGTGATACACAGGTTATTTTGCTGTATTATTAATCTTTTGTAGCTTATTAAAATGCATTCATATATTTTAGCTTTAGTTCAACATAATTATAAATTTGTTTGACATCGTCAAGAATAGGCAAAAAAAGATATGTTGTCGTTGACCTAAACTAAAATTTAGCCACATTTAAAAACCAAATATAATTGTCAACAAAGTCTTTGCTATAAAATATAATAAGGGGGCCCCATTGCTTAATCGATATCCAAAAAATCGATTTCTGAGGCAAGCTGTAGAACCATCGCTATAGGAATTGCCGTTCACTGGGAAGCGCAAAATGGTCTTGAATTGAAATGTTTTTCTATTTTCCGAAATTTTCCGGCGAAAAAACACTGCTGGAAAATGTTGTTCCGCTCAGCGAAAAGCAAGTTCGATGCTGGAGACGTGGTGCGTCGATTGAAGCGCTTGGCGGAGGGCACAATGTCCTCCTACCGCCGATTGTTCCTGCTCCTCTTCTGCGTTTGTGTGGTCTTCTATATGATTCCGCCGATCTTTCGCTATATCTTCCTTAGTGCCCCCGAACAGAAGGGTGAGTAGATCACTCTCAGCGTCCTGAACTAATCATTTTCTCTTGCAGATCCCCACAGTATGTGCATGGACGATCGGCTGACGCCCTTCATCCTCCAGAACTTTGAGTTCGATGCGAATATCCGTCACGTGTCACCTGGTAAAATGCCCGGCGAACGCGATTTCACGCCCTACGTTGGAAACGGCTATCTGGGATTGGAGATTGCTCACGACGCCTTTCTGAACATTAAAAATGGAAGAGCCATGCAGCTGCCCATCCGCTTCCAGCCAGTGGTTTCCGTTTCTGGAGGATCTGGTGGCGAAAAGGAAGCCACTGTCGTGGAGTATTTGACTGGAATGGTCCATCGATTCCAGTGCTTCGCTGGCTACTTTGTTTCCTACACATACTACGCCCATCGCACGCAGCCGAATATCTTCATGCAGGAGCTGCAGATCACGAACACCAGAAACCTTATAGAGGACATAGAGCTAATCATGCCACGCGTCAATCTTCCAAAACTCACCAAGCGAACGGTGGCTCTAAGGTTGGATTTCTATCTGTTAAAAAAGGCAATAGCCTTATATTTCCTTTGTTTATAGAACAACCTAACGCCCAACCTTTTTCAGTGAACCCGCCTCAGTTGGAATGTTCACCTACACCGAACTGGAGGTGCTGACGGGCGTACTACAGCCTTTGCCAGACAATCCCAGTAAATCCATCGTAATAAGCATAGTGAAGCCCCAAATGGATTCCAAATTGCAGCTGAGGAAGCGTGGCACAGTGCGCATTGTATACCCCATAGTAGTGCAATACTCCAAACCAGTGCCGGAGTCTCAAGTCATGGACCTGAGCGAAACCATCGGGCAGCAGGCCACACAGGCGATGACCAAGCTTCTGCAAAAACTCGGCTCCAAGGCCTCGAATCCGGGCTCCCAGAACAGCATAAACACCTATCGCCAAGAGCACATCGATGTGTGGACGGATCTGTGGGCCACAGGTTTTACGATAAGCACTTCCAAGGCGGAGAACAGCTTAAATGGCGATCGCATTAATGCCACTATGTATGCCGTTCTCTCGCAGGTGCGCAGCTTTGAGTTTGAAGAGTCGGGTGGCTCTAAAAAAGAGGATATAGCAAAGGCTCTGACCTACGCCGAAGGATGCTACGATTCGTACCACACGCTGCAGGCAGAGAATCTTTGGCGAGAGATGTCCAATCTGCAGCAGCTAAATTCCCTGGTTACATCATGGATGCTAACTTTGGAAAAGCAAGGCTGCCACAATCTCATACGAGCTGGAGCATCGGGCGTAATCCAAGGCATGGTCTTGAGCTTTGGCAGCTTTCGTTTTAGCAATCAGCACCTGGAGTGCAACATCCATCCGAAGTTTCTGCACAGGGATTTCCACTTCAGGCGCCTCAATTACGGCAATAAAACCCATGTCAATGTCACCATCATTGTAAAGGATGACAACAAGGCGGTGATTAATGTGGCGCTGGATCGTTCCGATAGGAGCTATTACGCCTGCGATGGTGGCTGCCTAGATGAGCCCGTGCTGCTCACGTAATTTGAATCTATAACTTATCCTAAAGTAATTTAATTTAATTAAGGTTCATTTTCTCAGGCCAAATCGACGACAATTCCCAGTTAAACTGACTGAGCCCCTGACAGCAATATTATACATAACAGAAGACAAACAGCACATGGAAGAGCTGCACCATGCCATCCACGTCAAAGAAGTCGTCGAAGGTAGATATTGGACAAGAATACCAATCGAATATCATTCTCACTATTTTCATGTTTGTTTGCAGCTCCCGCCCATGAGCAGCATCTAATTGCCCTGCATCGGCATGGACATCAACTGGGAGGATTGCCGACGCTTTTCTGGGTTTCCGTGTGTGCAATAATCATAGTATTCCACATATTCCTGTGCAAGCTCATTATCAAGGAATACTGCGAACCGAGCGATAAGTTAAGATATCGTTATAACAAACCGTGATCCTAGTTGTATATAAAAATTGGATGCTAGTAAAATATGAAAACTTAATGAAAATTGACAAAACACAGCTTTCATACCATTGTTAGTCCTTAAGTTGCTTTTGAATCAATTTTGTGGTCCGATCTACTAGAGTACAGCTAAGTATCCCCTTTTTGACTGTAATTAACCATACAAAATATTTAAAAAGTATAATTTTTACATATTAAACTTTAAGAAATAGCACAGCTCAAGTTCATTGAAATCCATTTGTATTTTCTAACATTTTAAATGCTTTACTTTAGAAAAGGCAGATCATTTAGCTTATATACAGAGATATAGAGTGTGTGCAAAATGCATTGGTTTATCTAGAGTTCTTGATTTCGTTGGTGCCGGAAAATTCGTACAGGTGCCGATAATTAGGTACTACTGAAACTCCATCTCTACTTCGATCTCCACTGGTTCACTGGTAGCTCCACCCTACTTGGTGACCTTGTGTATGCTCTCGGCCAGGTACTCGACATTCTTGCTGGTGACTCCCGCCATGGAAACACGGCCATCGTTGGTCAGATAGACGCTGTGCTCCTTGATCAACTTCTGCACCTGCTCGGGCTTCAAGCCCGTGAAGCAGAACATGCCAATCTGGTTGACGATGTGATCCCAGTTCTGGCTGGAACCCAGTTTCAGCAGGTTGTCCTTTAACTGGGTGCGCACATCGATGATACGATCGGCCATCAGCTTTACATCCCTCAGCCACTGGGAGCGCAGGTCCTCGTTGTTCAGGATCTCGGCGGCAATCCTAGCGCCATGAACCGGGGGGTTCGAGTACAGACCACGGATCAGGATCTTGACCTGGGACAGCACACGGGCAGCCTCCTCCTCGTCGGAACAAACCACGGAAAACGCGCCAGCACGCTCCCCATACAATCCCATGTTCTTAGCAAAACTCTGGGCCAAAGTGAAGTCGTGTCCATCAGCCTCGAAAGTGCGAACAGCCTGGGCGTCGCGATCAATGTCTCCAGTGGCGAATCCCTGATAGGCCATGTCGATGAAGGGATAGAGGTTGCGCTTCTTGATCACCGCCGAGATCTCTTTCCACTGCTCCAATGTGGGATCCACTCCAGTGGGATTGTGGGCGCATGCGTGCAGGAGAACGATGCTCTTCTCGGGGATTTTCTGAAAGATTTTGGTAAGTATTAAATTTAGAAACTTGAATGGTAGTCTTATTTCTCACCTTCAGATCCTCGATCAGTCCCGAAAAGTCCAGGGCGCAGGTGTCCTTGTTGTAGTAACGATACCTATTCACCGGCAGACCGGCGTGTTCGAAAATGGCCACATGGTTGCCCCACGACGGGGATGGGATGTAGATTTCGCGGTTGCCCTTCCAAAATTTGGCCAGGAAGGCAGCTCCGATGCGCAGAGCTCCAGTTCCACTGATGGACTGGGCGGTGACATTGTGCTTGGCGGCCAGGCGCTTGGATCCCTAAAATGGCAAGTCGATCAATCATTATATTATATTTCATAGTTATAAAGAAAGTATTTACCTTGCCCAAAGCCAGCTCAATGGCCTTGTTGTAGAACTCGGGAATGCCGATAATGGTGGCGTATTCCTTGTCCAAATTGCGGCTCAGTACTCTCTTCTCGGCCTGGTTATAAAACATACAATGTTATATGGCTTTTTTTGGATATACTATTGATCTGAACCCACCTCTCGCACACTGGGAAGCACAAAGGGCTGAGTGTTATCATCGCGATAGGCGCCAGCGCCCAAGTTGATCTTCTTCGGGTTCTTGTCCTTCTTGAAAGCTTCTGTGACTCCCAAAATGGCATCAGGAGGTCCCATTTGCACCTCTGTGAACCATGATGATCTGAAAATACAGAAGTAATTTTAATAAACAGTAGCCCTTAAAAAACAAAACTACAAATAGTTCAATTCTTTAAAATTGTAACCTTAAACCATACTAAGAGGTTAAAAAGTTAAAAAATTATTTTTTTTAAATTCTGTGTATATATAATTTGTCTCCTTAAAAGTGAAATAATTCACTTTCTGAGTACCAACCTTCAACCTTTGTATAATCATACACCCCACTACGTTCTTATCTGGTATAAATTTAATTGGTAGATTAAAAAACTTCTTAGTGGGTTATCTCATCCCCGTCTGCCACTTGTGGCTATCATTTATCATTTCGCTTTCGTGACTAAAGTTTGAAAGTCATCTGGAGGATTTCTTAGATTTCGCCCCCAATGTTAACACCTCATACCCCCAACGACATTTTGGACCCCCTCTTATCAGCTGTAAACATGTTATTATGGGAACTCGGTCGACGATTTACAAAATACACAATATAGATCCATTAAAGCCGACGTCAGCGATAAGGTCGATGATTGTTTGCTGACGTAGCCGGCTTCCTGAGTCTCTTTCTCATTATTCATAGCCGAACTGAATCGAGGAAATATTCAAACTTAATTAAACTTTTTTAATTAGGTTCCACCTGTCTTCGTATCTGATTTGTTTGATTTCTAAAAGGAACCTTCCGCAGTTCGATAAAACAAACCGAATTCAAGAAGTTCCATAAAAAAAATCAAAACACGCGACAAAAGCGTGATATGACCACGAATACCCTACGCTCTTTTCGTCTGGCATGTTCGATGTCCCGGGTCGTTGCTCCATACATGAAAAATATCCTTCACAGTTTTCACAATGCTTCTGCTCAAAACGCAATGCTGAAAATCGACTATTTTAACTGAATAATTTTGTTTTACTGGAATTTTTGAAGTTTTTTTCGTTGCTGTAAATTTATTTATATTTATTTAATGTTCTTAAAGAAGTCTATGGAAGTCTTTAGGACATAGATAGAATTTCGAATAAAAAACTATTAATATAAAATGTATTTGCAAATAATAGTGAAAAGTCTATTAAATTTTTCTAAAAGTCTATTTAAAATTGATAAAAACTGTTCAAGCTTTCTGTACCGCATTTAGAACTCATTATCTTTTAACCTATTCATCATGTGGTTTCAGAATGTTCTTTCAAGCGGAAGAAAAAATAGAAAAAAATAGACAAATAGCATGGAGCGTCATGAAATTGGCTTTAAAAATAAATTACTCTATATAGTATAGTAGAGAACCCAAAGTGTATGCAAATATTAGACGTCAAGATAAAAAAAACAGCTGGAGAGCAGATATTTCAGATTCATACACCGAAAACGATGATGAAATGTAAAGCCCCTGCGCTGATATAACAATAATCCGGAGAACAGATATAGTATAACGCTAAATCCGGAGAACTAATTCGCAAGGACAAACAAATTATGCAGTGATGGAGAAAACAAACACAAATATACGTATGCGATTTCGACCGGCAACTGTAATGACCTTGGCAAATGACACCGCTGCATCTGCAACGTGTTCAGTGGCTTTTTGTCTCTTTCTACCCCATTGCCACACCGGATTAGCTCCCCCTCTCCCTATCTTACTCACTTGCAGCGGATGGCGGCGGGCGCCCATCGGTTGCTGATCAACAAACCGCGCTTACAGATCTGCGACATTGTTAAATGCACTAAATAGCTGAACTATCTTTCCCGTTAAATAGCAATTGGTAATTGCGAAATGTCGTTGCCAATCGCCGCTGGCCTCAAGAGAATACTAAATCACGTTAGTGCGGCATTTGCAAAAAGTAGCTGAAGTAGGTAAAGCTTTTGCCGGTCGGCTATCGATATTTATCGCGGGGGTGAAGAAAAGCTTTCCAGTGCTCTCTCTTTAGCTTGTATCTAAATTAATGTAGCTACTTCTTATAAAACAATAAATTTATTTTGCTATATATTTTTTGTGAAAATGTAAGTTAATATTATGTGTTTAATAATTACACAACCTAATTATGTTTTATTATTAGCGAAAGGTAAAAAAACATATTAACATATCTTTTATTTTAAGCAATTATACAAATGTAGAAAATATGCCCATAAGTAGGCAATAAAATATTTTCTATTGACAACCATTTTTGTTTGACCATGAAATGTTTTCTTATTGGTTGAAAGATAGATACATTTGAGAAAAATATATGTAGTGGTTGAGAGCCACAATAATTTTACTAGAATTTATAAAATACATATTTCTAACTGTTTTTTTAATGATTATTAAAGAGATAATTTAATTAAATTGTTGGAAAAAAAGGCAGTACATTGGTTATGTAAAAAATACTTCTTGTTTTTTCAGGAAATAAGATGGCGAGGATAGTCATACTTTAGCTTGTATAAACTTGTAATATTCGTATCTTGAAATGTTTGAATTTGAAGTTATTTATTTTCCAAACTTAGCTTATTAAAACATCTACTAATTATACATACTTTTCAATCGATAGTTACCATCAGCGCTAGAAATCGGCGGAGAAAGCTTTCCCTTCTGAGTCGTCGCGCGCAGCTGCTTTTAGTTCCGTAAGAAGCTTTGACTTGGTCTTCGGGCTGTCCAGATTTAGTAGATTCGTAGCGCCGTTGGGGTGAAAAAGGAGCATAAGCAAAAATTCAACGGAAACGTCACCGTCTGTTATTTACCTTGTAATTCAATTAACTAGAGGAAAATGCTGAGGTACGCGGTAATTGCTTGCGCTGTTTTGGTGGCCTTTGCGGGAGCCCTAGAGTTCAGCGATTGCGGATCGAAGACGGGCAAGTTCACCAGGGTGGCCATCGAGGGATGTGACACCACCAAGGCGGAGTGCATCCTCAAGAGAAACACGACGGTCAGTTTCTCCATCGATTTCGCTTTGGCCGAGGAGGTAAGTGGTTCAGAAAAATAGTATGGTTTTGTGTCTCTTAAAAAATATATTATATTTTATTATTTTCTTTTTATAAAAATTGCTGATAGGCTTCGGCGGTTAAGACGGTGGTCCATGGCAAAGTCCTGGGCATCGAGATGCCCTTCCCGCTGGCCAATCCGGATGCCTGTGTCGACAGCGGACTGAAGTGCCCCCTCGAGAAGGGAGAGTCCTATCGCTATACGGCCACCCTGCCTGTCCTGAAGTCCTATCCCAAGGTCTCTGTCCTGGTAAAATGGGAGTTGCAGGATCAGGATAGTGCGGACATCATCTGCGTGGAGATTCCCGCTAAAATTCAGTAGCGGAATCAACCTAATTTAACCTTGAATTACTGAAGAGAGTGCACGACGAGCGACTCAGTTTTCCCTCTCTTATTGTAATGTAATTTAAAATAAAGAAATTTAAATTTAAATTAATATTTTTGGATTGTTTTACTTTCGTTATGTTTTTTTTAATTCAATTAAATTTTTAATCATTACAAAGGCATAACCCCTGCCTCAGAATAAAAAAAAATGAGACGTATTATGAGTAATCCATGAGCAACAGCTTATTTTCTTGCTAATATTTACAATTCTTACAAGCTTTTGAGTAAATTTGGTCTTATTTATGCCCAGTCATTACTACTTTTTCTAAAAATAGTAAAGTAATGGAGAAAATCATAAATGTGCAATCTCTGAGCGGAAACCTCAAGTTCACAATTTTCTCATTTATTGTAATCTAATTGATAATGATCTTTTGTGTGGGCCTTAAGTCGCTCTTTTTGTAGGCCTTTTTTTATTATTGTTTCCTTTTGTTTGCTTTGATTGCATCTTCCGCTTTGATGAAAATGAGAGGAAGATGGAAAAATTAAGAGATGTACAGCAGAAAACTTTAGCTTCAACAAAATCTGTTAACTGGCGGATAACAGAGGGGCTTGGTTAACAGGGCAGCTAAACAGACTAATTTTTTTTTATTAAACGAAATCAAGTTGATTGACCCTCGATCGGTAAACAATAAGCTATGTTTCTGAATCTGAAACAAAATTTCTATTGTATGGTAAGGAAATATTTATATCATGAATCAATTAAAATTAAATCAAATACAACATCATACTCATTTTAAAATTATAGATTTGCAAGTTTTCTTTCCCAATATATGTATTTGTATAAATATGTGTATGGTACGACCTTCTTTGATAAGAAACTGTACATTGTTGTTCTTGTTTTTTGCTGTGTGTAATAAATGAACTAATCATAACGAAATATGCGATATAATGTGCAAATGCGGCGGAGTAGGCTTATCTTTAAGCTGCAGTAAAATTGTGCTATATTTATGCCCATATACATATACAAAACTAATGCACATTGAACTACGGCATTAAGTTAAATCAAAAACAAAACTAAATAGCTGTGTTTTTCTGTAAGGTATAAAATAATCAATACCTGGTTAAGATAAAGACTAGACACATATTTCTTAACCTAGGTAATGTTAAAAGTACCACATTTTGTTACATTGGTACGTACCTGGGTATACAAATCTAGGTACCGTTAAATGCCTTGAACTGATAAGTTTGCTTGAATCAGAAATTCTTAGTTTGCCATATGACATTTTTGCAATTGAAACTTGACTCAGCGACTTATCTTTGCTCTCTTTTTCAGTTATAGTACCAACTACGCTCATTGTTTTCACAGCTCTTTTGAGTAGACCAACTCACTGGCATTGCGAAGATAATGAGTAAGCTTCTCTATCAGAATTGAAAACAATGCTCATCAGTGTTTTGGTTTCGGTTTCGATTACGGTCTAGAGTTCGCATTCGCAATCGTATTCGTATTCTCATTTTCTGTTCTCCTTTCTCCGTTCTCCCGAACAAAGAATAGCCTGATAAGACGCCAAAAACAACTGAAACATCGCAAAAATAGAGGGAGTTGGGTGGATTTGGTGGATAGCAGCTGAAGCCAAGAAAAAACACAAATCAACTGCAGCAGAGCTTTCCATTTCGTTTTCTCAATTTCCATTCCTTTTTCAGCCAAAACACCCACTCACACACACTCAAATTCACAAGCCATATGGCCATATGCAAATAATGCAAGGGGGTGAAGGAATGGGGTGGAGAATGGGGGTGGGGAAGGGGGTGGTGCATCAGATAGAATTATCCGCAGTGCGCCAGCACCGGGATATTTTAGTAAAGAAATCGCTTTATTACATTCACTTTGCGCCACGAATCGCTTGAAATGCAATTCCGACTCTGATTCGGTGTCGGATTTGGATTCCTATTCGAGAGTTCATTTTTTGTGGTCTTAAAGATAGTTTGATCCGGCTTATGTGCATATAAATTGCGGGATAACTTAAAGATTGATGATTTCAAAGTGTCAGATCTTCGTGTGAACCAATTACAATTTTGTTGAATTTTATTATGTGTCAAATAGATTTGGAAAACGATGTTTTTATATAAGGAAAATTACTTTTCAATTGTAGAATTCTTTAGACATATGAACCTACTATATACATTTTTTCCATATATTTTATTTAAAACATTTACTAAAAGTCGTTTTTAGAGTCTAATCCTTTATTTCATTTATTTTAAAATAAAATTTTATCTAAACCTTACTTTTACACCTTAAGATGTTAAATAGTTTAAAAGTTTTTTGTAGAAAATGGTTCCATGTGATAAATTCCACCAGAATTAAGAAAATATTTCAGAGTCTTAGCCAATGACATTTTATTTAACCTTCCGGTTAGGGCTTCCGCAAGTCAACTCTGCGAGAAAAACTCCACTACCCCTGATGTTTTCACTTGATTTACATATGAATCCGCATAAAGCACGGCAGTCCGAAACTGCAAAGAAATGTGGGCCAAGCCCCCGGTCCATCCTCTTAACCCCCCATCCCCCCCACAACCCATCTGTAGACACAGCTGACGTTTAAAAACTTGACACAACGCTGCATGCAAAAGTGGGCGGATGGGGTGGTGTGGAGGAGGAGGAAGTGTAGAAAGGGCGGTGGGAAAAATAAAAATGGGAAATGAAAAGAAATGTAGGCGGATGTGGGTACACTACAAGAACAATATCTCCAAGCAAAAATACGCAATATAGACGTGAATTTCTGAAATATAATTTTAATTTTGTTAGCTTACCCACAAAATATTTAATTTATTACGTTTTTCTGCAAAAAATAAGTTTTAATTTAATAAAATACTTTGGAAGTGGCTCTAAAACTTTTACTCACTTATATGGTAATTTATTAAACGTATGATATAAAACAACTTTTAAACTTTATTTTAATCTCAACCAAGACTTAGGGAATTAAAATGCATTTATTTAAGTGGGTCATGTGAATGCATCCATGGCACTATTTAAATTTACTTTCTGTGCATTTCTTGTATCTCTGCTTCTGGTGGCATATCATATGAGTTAACCCACCGGGCGCCAACGCCCCCACAATCCACCCTTTTTGTGAGCCACTGTGTGTCTGCACAGAATTTCTTGCATAAATAGCAGCATGTGCGGAGATCTCTCTTTGTCTGTGAAATAAAAATAAAAACAATTCTGCCCTCGTTGCATTTAAAAGTAAAATGCAACTTCCGCCCACAATCGAATGTTAATGTTATATGAACAATTTTCGTTGCCATGCGGTTCGCCATTGTAAATAAATTCCGAGCTCCGGTTCTGGCCATGTCATTTTTTGGTCACTGCACAAAGCGAGTTTTCTTGTTTGACTCTGCAGCATTAAATTGCGTTAATTACGAGTGTCCTCTTTAAAAAAAACCCACCCCCTGGTTTTTAAGGGGTGTAAGTGTCCCCCTCATCTGTCGCTGACAATCTGGCCAACTTTATGTTTATTTTCATTTTCATTATGTTTTCATATTATTTTTGGTAGTTTTTGTTTTGAAGTGCTTTTAGTGGTGTCTAAACTTTAAAATTCTGTGGGTGAAATGGTGTGATTAATTGTTTAAGTTCGAAATTTGTTTGTGGCACATGTCATGGCAGCATTATGGCGATAAAAATGTGTGTGAGTTTTGTTTTACTTTGGTTTTGGGGAGATTGCCTTTCATTTTTTACTGTTTCTTTGCTTTGACATTCTTAAGGGGATTTCTTGATTGTCCAAGTTGCTAGCTTAAGGCATGTCCAGTTCTAAGCTGGCCAATTAGGATGATTGAAAAATGAGAAAAAGGGCAAGAACGAGAAGAGTAGGGAAAATCTAGGAAAAAATCAGACAAAAGTTCGAATACCGTGACATAACCGTTAAGCGTAGATTTCCAAAGCATATTAAAGTAATACAGTTTTATAGAAGCACAGAAAAAGGTATATTTTACTTGTTACATTAACATTAAAATATATTGGCTTCTGATGTCCAATTCAATGAAGCATTTGGACTTCTTAAACTGGATATTTATCCATTTCCCAGTTCTCGAACTTTTTCCTCGATTTTAATGAAACATTTGAACTTCTCAAAGGACTCCACGCACTTATCGTTATTCTTGATCGAATCGCAGTTGTGCTTGTGTTTTAAATTTTCCAGTCTTTCCCTTATTTCATCCAAGGCCTTATATCTGTCCAAGTAACACTGTAAAAAGCACTTGACATTTGCCGTTTCGTTTTTGATTTTGTATCTCAATGTGATATCTTCGGCTTCTTCACTGGGAACTTCGTGTATTTTGGCACATTTCCAGGTATAAATATAAGTAAGCGGTGGTAACTATAAAATATTATGTAATGTAGAATTAAAATACCAGGTGATGTCCTACTTACGTCGGCAGCTGCCAGAACTAAGGTGCTAATCAGGAATACCGAAATGAGCAAGACCATTATTTCCCAGATGGTTTTTCAATATATAACTCTCAGCTATCAAAGCTGTGCTTTAAATAGTTTTTCATGTGCCATACTTTATACACGCCTATTAAGGATGTCACAGCTTGTTTCACACTTGTCACCAAATTGATCAATCCATGTTATTATCATTTTGTATCATATTATCCCACATTCCATTGGTTAAAAACCTCCAACGTATGTTAAATTTTAGTTATCCTCTGCGGTTGCCGATCAAAATTGCACGCATATATTTTTAATGACTTTCCACCTCCGATCCACATTTAATCCCCTTGTTACTTTTAACAGTTGCATCTTTTTTGTGCTCCTGTTGCGGTTTTTGCATTTAAAATAAATGCCATTTGCTGTCAGATGGACCTGCAGTTATCTTAATTATTTGCATGTGGCCGGCATTCGTTGTTAACAGCAGGGAAATGCATTGAATGCCATAACTACAAGCAAAGTCATGGCCAAAAAGTGTAGGTGGGATGCGTTCGCCATGAGCTGTCAATTCTTCAGCGGGTTTTTCATGTCCCGCTGTCAACTGAACTATGGAAAAAAATCGAAACAGGAACAATCTGCAGTCGTGACGCTGACAGTTATGATATGGCAGGCACGAGGATGGTGCGGACAAAAAATTGAAATTGCATTGCATTGCAATTAATCAAATGGCGAAACAGATAGCTTAATTTGTTTACGTTCTGCCCTGAAATTCAATCCGACACTCAGAAGCCAACTCCATTGTCCGTTAACTGTCCGTCTTTTGTCCGCCGATGTCATTAGCATCGTGAATTACCTATACATTTTTAATGTGCTTTCATTTGTTTGCCCACATGTGCAAATTATCCTGGAATGCCATTCAATTCGCTGGCTTTACTTTGCCGCAGTGTGCGCCATTAAAAACAAATTAATTTTAAATTAATTATTCGACAAATAAACGAAAGGGCATATACCCTCATACTTACCTTTTTTTAATTTCAAAGTCATTTGATAATAGTCTTATTTGGGTTAAGTTCTTGAATTTACTGGAAAACATATGTCATTTGGTTGTTGGGTGTTAAAGATTTTAACATTTTATTTCCCAGATCAAGTTTCTGTTTAACTTTAAAATGTATTATGCACGCTCCTTTACGATTTCACGGTTTTCGGTTAAAGAATTGTAAAAGAAACGATACTACTACTTTATAAAACAAATATTTAATTTTAATGCAGCACAGAAAAAATATATATTGCACTCTGTTTTTAGCACTTTATCATAGACGTTGTTTGAACAGTTTCGCATGCAAGGGAAAAGTAGATCTCATTAACATTCCAAATTTCGCGAACATTTTCCGCAATGCATATTTAGTGCAGCGGAAAGCAAACTACATTTGAACTTTGTATCAAAATAAAATATTGAATTAAGCACATACAAATGGGCCAAATAAATTTTTGGTTTTGTGCTCTATTGGCACACGCGACGTATGCGCAATATTTAGTGCACTTAAAGAGCAACCATTTGCATAATAAGGGAATGATACAAAAACTCGTTCCCTCCCCAAACCATGAACCCAAACAGACATAAACAAAGTTAAAAAGGGCGGTGGGATGTGGTATTTCTGCCCGAAGAGTTGTTCAATTAATATGCTTTGGTCCAAGCGGCGTATGCGTAATGCCAAAATGCCAAATAAGGTAAAATGAATAGCACAATGGTTTCAGTAAATAAGCGCATAATGCTTTGCTGTATTCAATGTTTATTTGCGGCTGGTAAAAGAGGTTTTGGTTAGTATTGATTCCGCGGGTCGGTTATTGGCACCGAAAAGCAATTAAAATGTGCTCTAAACTATGGGTATTTCAGCTGCTTAGTTAGGGCTGTGTAATGTTTTTTTTTTAAAGCTTTTACCCATTTGTCTAGACAGACAAAGCCGTGAAAGACAGCCAGACGAACTGACATACATATGCAGATTTCCCTTAAATTTAACCCTTGAAACTTAACCCCCTGTTGCCCACCGCATATATGTACATACATCCCAGCGCGAATCGAGGCTTGCAGTTGAAGCGTCCTTCCATATAAATCACATAAATATTCACATTTATTTTCATTTCCAACGCTTTTCCCCCTGTTTTTGTTTCATTTCGTTTTCGTGTTACCATAGAGTCCTAGATTTACATATTCATTTTGCTCCACATTTCATTCTTGCTGCGCTTTATGTAATTTTTTTTCCTGTGCAAAAAACGAGAGGTGGCACTTAAAAAGTCGTTACAAGGTGCAAAAGTTTTCTATGTCAAAATATACAGCCGGCAGCAGCAGAGACAATGACACTGAAGTGCGGGAAATGGTAGTGGAAAATGGGGTTTCATAGTTGCCTGCATATGTCAATGGTCCCGAGCCGAAAAAAAAAATAATACAGGAAAGAACATTTCTGACCCATTTAGGATTTCACAGGAAAGGAGATATTTCTGTCATCAATTTGGGTGATTTGGGTAAGGGAAGAAACTGAAAACAAAAATTCCCATTTAATTGCCCAAAACGGAAAAATGCCAGAGAAAGTTTAGAGCTTTTCCGAATTTTTCCTTTTGCCAAACACTGAGCACAGTTCAAGCATATTAAGCATATTAAAGTAATACAGTTAAGCATATTAAAGTAATACAGTAACATAGAAGCACAGAAAAATATATATTTTACTTGTTGCATTAACATTAATTTCTATTGGCTTCTGATGTCCAATTCAATGAAGCATTTGGACTTCTTAAACAGGATATTTATCCTTTTTTCAGTCCTCGAACATTTTCTTCGATTTTAATGAAACATTCGAACTTCTCAAAGGACTCCACGCACTTATCGTTATTCTTGATGGAATCGCAGTTGTGCTTGTGTTTTAATTTTTCCAGTCTTTCCCTTATTTTATCCATGGCCTTTGATTTGTCCAAGTAACACTGTAAAAAGCACTTGACATTTGCCGTTTTGTTTTTGATTTTGTATTTCATTATGATATCAGCGGCTTCTTTCATGGGAAGTTTGTGTGTTTTGGCACAATCACTGGCAATTTTTGGTCCATCGACATAGCCAGGCGGTGTCGGTGGCGTCTATAAAATATTATGTAATGTATAATTAAAATACCAGGTGATGTCCTACTTACGTCGGCAGCTGCCAGAACTATGGTGCTAATCAGGAATACCGAAATGAGCAAGACCATTATTTCCCAGATGGTTTTTCAATATAAATCTGAGATATCGGAGCTGTGCCTTAAATAGTTTGATGTGCCTTACTTTATACACGCCTATTAAGCATGTCACGGCTTGTTTCACACTTGTTACCAAATTGATCAACCGATGATATTATCATTTTGATTACCTATGCCATACAATAATTTTTAAAATCCCACTTTCCATTGGTTCAATATCTGTCATTTAATTGCCCAAAACGGAAAAATGCCAGAGAAAGTTTAGAGCTTTTCCGAATTTTTCCTTCAGTTCATGCATATTAAAGTAATACAGTTTTATAGAAGTACAGAAAAATATATATTTTACTTGTTGCATTAACATTAATTTCTATTGGCTTCTGATGTCCAATTCAATGAAGCATTTGGACTTCTTAAACTGGATATTTATCCATTTCCCAGTTCTCGAACTTTTTCCTCGATTTTAATGAAACATTTGAACTTCTCAAAGGACTCCACGCACTTATCGTTATTCTTGATGGAATCACAGTTGTGCTTGTGTTTTAAATTTTCCAGTCTTTCCCTTATTTTATCCAAGGCTTTTGATCTGTCCAAGTAACATTTTAAAAAGCACTTGACATTTGCCGTTTCGTTTTTGATTTTGTATCTCATTGTGATATCTTTGGCTTCTTCACCGGGAACTTTGTGTATTTCGGCACAACTCCAGGTATAACTATAGATAGGCGGTTTTAACTATAAAATATTATGTAATGTAGAATTAAAATACCAAGTAATGTCCTACTTACGTCGGCAGCTGCCAGAACTATGGTGCTAATCAGGAATACCGAAATGAGCAAGACCATTATTTCCCAGATGGTTTTTCAATATAAATCTCAGCTATCGGAGCTGTGCTTTAAATAGTTTCATGTGCCTTACTTTATACACGCCTATTAAGGATGTCACAGCTTATTTCACACTTGTTACCAAATTGATCAACCGATGATATTATCATTTTGTTTACCTATGCCATAAAATAATTTTTAAAATCCCACTTTCCATTGGTTCAATATCTGTTACGTGTGTTACGATTTCACAGCAAAAGGAGATATTTCTGTCATCAATTTGGGTGATTTGGGTAAGGGGAAAACTGAAAACAAAATTTCCCATTTAATTGCCCAAAACGGAAAAATTGCAGAGAAAGTTTAGAGCTTTTCCGAATTTTTCCTTTTGCCAAACACTGAGCTCAGTTCAAGCCAGAGATGTGTGGGCAAAGTTTAGACCGAAAAATTTGATAACTTTTCAATGTGGCTAATATTAGGTTACCTCAGCAAAGATTTAACTTCAATCAACTCACACACGAACAAACAGGGGAAAAGTCCTCGCAATCAATTTCAAATTTATCCCGGTCTCATTTGCCAGGGCATAAATTACTTATGAGCCATTCATTTATTACACCTATCGGCAAACTACACAAAATTGACAGCTTAATGATTTGTTCATAACTTTGCCAATGGGTCTTTATTTATGCGAAACTTGGACGTAGAGGCTGCAAATGGTAATTAGAAAAGTTGTACTCGTGTGTGTTCTACTAAGCTCTTGGGGATTAATTCAAGTCGGAAAGTTTCTCGGCCAAATGATATCAGAGCTTGGCTGTGATTGGATTACAGGAAATGGTTATCGTGCAAATGGCCATTCACAAGTATACCTTTAGGGTTAAATAATAAAAGGTTTATAAAGGGCTTGAATAGTATTCAACTCTTTTCTGGAAATCTCATTTGAAAGCTGTTCTCATATTACTTAAAAAACATCACCTATGACTTTAATGATTTTACCTACTCTAGATAAATGTATCTAATAAAATAAATGATGTTTAAAATAATTTCAGTAATACTTTTTATAGTTAGGCCTTATATCTTTATTAAATCTTAATATCGTATCGAGTACAGTGTATATTGGTTAAAAGATTCAAGTCATAAAAGCTCAATTGCATGGCATTATTACAATTAATAATTGACATTCTCCTACTTAAACCAAATTTATCTCAAAAGTTGTCTTTGTCATGGAAATTTCGACAAATTTCCATCTCAATTAGCTAAATATAATTTCAGAGGTTCGTAATCAATTCTGACAATTTGAGCATGAATATTGTATAAGGGAAAACAGATGGAACGATTGTAGGACCAAGAGGAAACTGTCGGCGACTTTCACACTTTTCTTGCATTTTCATCAATTAAATATGCCGACAGACTTCAATTATTTATAGAGAAAGAACCCAAAAATGCGGGTAAAAGAGACGATATTTTCAGGTATATTTATTTAAATACCTGTATATGTGTACATATATTCAATCTGAGCTCATGTGTGTGTGTGTGGGTAGAAATTACTTTTCGGAAAATTATCATGCACATTGGCTGATGCCACATGCCACTCACACAAACAGTCTTATAAGGGAAATTCAATTTGATGTTGCAGCAGTTGCTGCTGTTTCTGCTGCTGTTGTTGATGTCACTCGCCCGACTCATTAAGTATTAATTGTAAATTTTAATTAAAATAAACCGAAACGATTACGGACACAACAGTTGAAAAGAGACGAGGCGGGATTGACCCGCAAACTTTCCCGTATCCCTGCTTCTGATGGCCAGGTAATAATGTTTACTGATTTTATACCACCCACTGAATGCCGCCCAGTGTACACATTACCCATATATGAGAATGAAAAATCCCATTAATTGCCCGGCAAAAGACGAGTCCGGTGAAGTAAAAACAATAATAAATAATGAAAGATTGCAAGTGCAACTGGGGATGGCAGCTGCAACTGCAACTGCCACTGCAACTGCAACTGCCCCTGTCATCTTCCACCATTCTGGCCGACTTTGATCAGTTGGTTAACTTATGACTTAAAGTGGGCGTGGCCGATATGGGCTGGGCTTATATATCGACCATTAAGTGATTGTTGCGGCAAGCCGATTAATTTCATATGTTGCAACAAGACAGACAAGGCCCCGTTGAACTCAACTTTTGTTGATTGTTCTTATTGACTTGTGCATATTAAAGGAAGAGACCATTTAATTGGTGTTAAAAATATGTTGAGCCCAACATTTTATGTAGTTATTACTTTATGCAACAAGTTAAATAAGTTTGGAAATAAAATTTTAACTACAAATCTTTTTTATTTATTGTTAAGTAAGTCTTTCCAAATAATTTTCTTAATTTATAAAATAATTTAATTTGCTTAAAATAACTCCCTTAAGCCCCTTTATACTGGAAACTATTTTTCAGATTACCTCCGATTAAACCCAGAAATGCAGCCTTTCACCATTGTTTGGGTGTGACTGAAAAATGGCCAATAATTCGTGTGTTAATAATCTACAATCAGGCAGATGTGGGCGTGGCACATTCACACAATGAATTGCCCGGCAAACACGAGCGGAATGAATTGTATTTATTTGTGTGGCATAATTTGCTTATTTTTGTTTCACGTTGTCACGTCTGCGGGCAGATTCCCACTGACCCGTAACAATTTCCGGTTTTTTTTTTTTTTTCACACGGAGAAATAAAGGTTAAATAAAATACAATAAGTTATTATGGCCGATTGCGTTAATGATCATTTATAGCTGGGTGAGTTTGTGGGCTTATGTAAATGGCACTCGCATCCTCCCATTTTTTCATACGCGATAACTTCCCGAAGGATGCACAGGACAAAGTGTACGGAAGGACGAGAGATTTATGCTTAAGTGATGTAAATGTTTTGCCATTTGACAGTTTATTGACTTTTATGAGTTAGTTTATTATGTTCTTTTTTTATAGCCGTAAAAGGGGGGTAAAAGGTTGAGGGGGTGGCTGCGAAATATCCTTGTAATTGGGCGCGTGTTTGGCATAAGCAATGAGCCTGCCATTATGTCCAAGGCTTTGTCCTTGTCCCCGGATGTTTATGGGCTGAAGGCAATACAAGATTTGCACTAATGAATATGATAAACATTTTATGGTGCATGATGACAAATAAAGGCCACTAGATAATCATCAAGAGACACCTTAACGGAGGGAAATGCCAGGAAATCATTAAACAAATGGGTTGACAGTTAGTAATAGTTTTTCCATTACAAAGCAGGCGATTAAATTAATAGAAAAGTGTGTACATTATGTTAAAAATTAAACAAAAATACTTTGTTAGCTTTAATACTTTGTAAGCTTTAAATAATTAATTTGTTTATTGCAAAAAAATGTAAATTATTTTAATGGATACAAAAAATGGAAATCAATGCATAAAATATCAAACATTTTTTTTAATTGCCCTGAAACTATATTTATGTTAATTTTAAAAGCTCGCCAATTCATCAAATATTATCCAAATGATTTGAATTTGTTTTGTACACTTTAATATGCTTAAAAATACCCCTAAAAACTTACCTTTCCCATCCCCTTTTTGGCCTAAACTAATTTCATAAAATGTTTAAAAGCCACATCAACATCAAAGTCATTTTTATACACATTCAGTTGAATTTATTTTCATATTACTCATACGCACTGCTTACCTGCTAAACATTTCACTTCGTTTTATTTGGGGGTTCGTTTCTCATTTATGGTTTTCGTTTTTCACTTCAATTAAGCTAATTCAAATCATTTTCTATTATTGATTCGCTTTCATTTAATTTATAATCAGTAATTTGGACTTCCATTTGTGTTTGTAAAATTCATCAAAGTTTTCGTTTTTTTTTGTTTGGGTTTACTTGTATATCGTTTTAGTTTTTAGCTTGAACAACATTTATGTAGAGTTGGGCATTTCATATTTAACTATAAGGTAGAGTTGACAATGCATATGTATTGTATGTATCCTAAGGACTACACCCCTCTCCAAAATCGTTCGTTAATAACATCCTTAGGTCTTTCTCTTAAAAAACGTACAAAAAATGCGGTTGATGAATGAAAGTTGGCAGCAAAAATTGGCAATAGGCTGAACAGATATCGTCTATATATAGCAAAAAGCAATTGGTTTAATAGCTCCCTTCTCTAAACATTCTTGGGTTAGGTTAAAGTGAATTGCACACACAAAGTTCTATCACAGAAGATACAAGAACATAGAAAACTCAGCAGCAACAATAACGAGTTTGGGATGGTATTTGGTATTTGGTATTTCTTTTTGGTTTGGGACAAGCTCTATGTCCAGATCAAAGCGATGATGATTGCGTATATGGGATATAGCGACGGATTCCAGCTGCATCCTGTGGCTGTGGTGAACACCTTCACGGCACTCCATTCACTCAGTCCGGCGAGATTCCGACTGGCCGCCCTCAACAGATACGTGGTGTTCGACTCCAAATGAGCGATAATGAAATGATGGCCTGGAAGTAAACATTTGGTTTTGATATTAAATAACAAAAAAATAATTATTTGTTTTTAGTATAAATAGGGTATATATCAACATTCAAAACATAGTTATCAATGGGATTATTCGATTAAGAAAATGTGGTTTAGGTCTGGCAAAGCCAAATTTCAATTTTTGAGTGAATTACAACTGGGGAAAATTCATACAGAAAGCTTTTTGCCTTTGGAAAATTAAAATAATAGTTGAGTGTCCTTGTGAACATCACTTCAACTTGATAAATTTCCTGGCTCGAATTCTAGAGCTTTCCTTAGATGATGTTTCCTTGCAAAATTATAAACAGAAGGCAAAAAGGTATGCTTCTCTTATACAAATTGTGTTAAGTGCTTTAAAGTAGTCCTTATTTATGTTAAATAAATAGTGCATTAGCTATAGTATACTCACCCCGATGAAGGGAGAAGTCCCTTTGCTTGGCATGGCTCCAGTTGCCGGCGCTGAACTTGAACTCGGTGTCGCTCATGTAGGCCACCCGGTAGCCATAGATCTGCATCTCATCCGAGACGTTCGACATGAAGGGCTTGTGGATGTCCAGGGCGAAGCCGTCGGTGTAGACCTTCTTCAGCTGGAACCGCGAGGGACCCCAGGGCTTGGCCCCCGGGCGCAGCTTGATCACCCGCTCCAGCATCCCCAGCGGATTGGCCACCTTGCACTTGTAGTCCCCGAACTGGGAGTCGTTCCTCACCTGCAACTGCAGCGTGGCCCCGTAGTCCGCCACGAAGATGCGGTGGTTGAAGCCCACGATGCCCTTGCCGTTGTGCAGCCAGGTGAACGATGGTGGCGGCTCGCCCATCGCGTCGCAGCTCAGATTCACGGCCCCGCCCACATAGGCGTACTGCACGGGCAGGGTCTCGTTGAAAAACCAGTGGGGTTTATCTGAAAGATGGGTGTAGGTATAAACCACATGTGGCGAAAAGCGCAGAGAGTGTTTTCTAAAATATATTCAGCATATTTTATCAGAAATATGTTGTCACTGAGGTGCAAAGGGTTAAGAAAAACTATCTTTTAGATCTTCCCAACTTGTTGGCTTAACTTAACCACACTAAATAACTATTTGTAAATAATTTTAAAGTCACATTTGTCATAATTAAATATCCATTTTTTTTCCACCCCAAGGAAGTTGTTACTTATGTTATAAACTTGAATTTGTTTAAGTAAAAGTTCCCTCAGCTTATTCCTGTCAATGAAACATCCATTTTAAATAAAGACGAATTTCCTAAAAATATCCTCAATAAAGTTTATCGGAATTTTGATTCCCAACCCATCAAGGAAAGGCCTAGTTTGAGTATATCACATTATGTCAATGCTTATATTGCAGAAAAAAAAATGTATATATGATTTTAAAAGGCTTGTTTCTCTGAGTGTATGTTTTTGTGCCCACATACTGACTGCCAAAAACTTCGACCTGGTTCTGTTTGTTCATTCACCCATTTAAGCTCCTAAAAAGATAGCGGAAAAAAAGATATGGGAGCAGATGGATATTTGTTGGACTTTTTAGTTGTGTGTGCTAAAATCCTCCTATTTTTTAATGACTTTAGTAGTCTAATTCCCAAATTATAATCGTAGGAAATAGTGATTACTTAACATAAAAGATATTTTTGGAAAAACAACTTCTAAGTGTTAAACTATTACGCCTTTGCCATCTGCTCAAATTGAAGAGCAAAAAACCGAAAATAATCCAATCACAAGAACAATACATTTCCGTCTTTCTCTTACTTTCTCTTAGCAAGGAACTCTTATTCTTCTTTAACTCCTTTAAAAAAAGAAAAAAAACTATAACCTTGAGTCTTGGAATGGAGAGCAAAGAAAATAAGAATATAGTATCTAGAAATTGAATCACACGGTTGCAAATTGCTTTTTTTTAGCTTTCTCTGCCTCTAAAAACTTTTCTTGAATCGTAAGAAGTCTTTTGGCATCGTTTGACTACAAATAAAAGACACACTTTAGTTTTGAACCAATTCCCAGTATCTTTGAAGAAGATGACCTTGAAAATTTGTTTAATTTTAAGGAAAAATGGAACTTGTGACGTAAGGGGCTTATAAGATATAAGAGTTCATTCATGGGTATATGTGAAAACTGCAGAGTCTGTATTTGCACTATTACGTCAATATTAAAAAAAATACTATGCAGACAAAGCAATTAAGTTTGAAAAGCTGCTTTTATCGCAGGGGTTTCCCACTGTCAATTGTGAGTTTTCCGCTATCCCCAAGGACCTCGACCCCTCCTATTTTCCATTGAGGCGTTGGCTAATAGCACATTTTAGCATTTCGTCGTTGTCCCAGTGTCCTTCGTGTCCTTGTCGCCATCGTCGCCGATGCGGTCCATTGAAGTTTATTGCTTGGGAAATGCAAACCTATATATTGCAGCATTTGCAGCATTTCAACTGCTGGCTCTGTTTCTGTTTCAGTTTCTCGTCGGATTCCCCTTCCTGCGATTTTCTGCTGGGCAGCAAATTAGTTTCTGTTTCCATTCGCCTGCTGTTTGCCTTCCAGATACCAGCTGCCCGACGGATTGCTCCGCTTGGGGGGCTTTAGCTGCACTGAGGAGAATAAGGGGTTATCTAAGGTTGCTCTAATATATAACTTCAAGAATTGTCGAAAAAATCTCTTGAAAACTCAAGGAAAGTGTCTAGAGATAACTGCTGCTCTCAAAACCTTAAATATAGCTTTTGATTTTTAATTAGATATTGATTTAGACCTTAAGATTTTGGAACTTATTTTGGCATGTAATAAATTAATATTTATTACGTTATCTTTAATTTATTTTAATATATATTTCAAATATTATATGTGTATGTGTAAGTGATAAAAAACTTTCAAATTAAACTATGCTAATCATAATATTATATATTTTTTAGTAATATGTGAATTTGATTTTTAAAGTATTGCTATTTTCTCAGTGTTCTTTAGTTGGCTTGTGCAAATATTCGAGCGGCAGTCATTAGTAAAATTTTGACGGCAACTCAATTCGGACGAGGAGTTGGGCGAACGAGTCAACTGGAGCTTGGATGAAGTGGCCCGGGCTCCTGCATATTTGGCTTGCCTGGTGTTGGTTTGTTTATGAAGCCATAAGGTTCAATATCGATGGCTGGGCAGCATTACAAATGACTCCCAGGAGACCGTTTTTTCGGTTGGCAAATACGAGGAATTATTAGGTTGTGATAAACAAACTTTTCCTCGTGTTAGGAATATGAAAAGATGGATCATAGTTCTTGTTTCTGGCTTGTGCTGTATAAGTCGAAGATAAACATGGCAAAGGATAAAGTCTAAGACAAATATGAAGTCCTTAATCAATTCAGTTCATTTTATTTTCTGAATTTGATAATCTGCTTAAATTTTGGTTTACTCTTAACCTTTTATTTTAAACACTACAGAATTATAAAGGTATAAATCTAACTACTATGAAATACAATACATTCTTAAGCTGTTTGAACTGGCTACTTGATTTATTGAAATGCAATTAAGGTGCTTTGCTGTCTCTGTATAAGCTTTATACAAATTCTATTTTCTTCCTTGACTTAACTTGAAAATAATATCCATTCCCCTGGATACTCAATTTCATGAGATATCTCTAGATTTCAATCCCCTTCTTCCCAAGACGGGTAATATGTTTATTAGGAAATTTGCATCAATAATTTGCATTTCCCAGCCACTTGACCCTGACATCCGGATGGAATTCCCTTTTTGGTGCCGAGGGGATAACTTCAATTGGGAACTGGAAATCTCATTAAAGCCAACGAAGCTTGCCCACTTCCCAGGGGAAATTCCAAAGGGGGTCTTAAAGAACTTTAAGCTGCCATCAGCAAAAGACTTTGTTGCACAGTCGCTGCTCGTTTCTTGGAAAACTAAAAAAGGGATGGCAGCCAAATGCAATCGCCAACAAGTGGGGTGCAAAATAAATTCTAGATTAAATATTATCGAGTGTGGCACGCCCCTTGCAGAGCTGCTCTCCAAAACTGGATATTGAAAGAGTGGGACAATGACACTTACGTTGTATCCTTAGCAATATCGTTATTTGATCGGAATCCGAAAAAGTCGATGTTATACGCATCGCCCGACACGTGTACTCCCCGGCATCCGCCTGGCTCACATTCCTGATGTACAGACCGTTGGTCAGGCGATTGTGCTTCGACGAGTTGACGGCTGCAACAAAACAAAGGCGAGGGGAAAGAATTAGGGGGCGGGGTCAGAGCTGAGGGGGATATCGTTGCATCGCCAACAAGCTTGCCATGCCAGCGGCAGTCCACTGCACTTTGAAAATTAATCTGTTCTTTGATTACATTTTTTCCAATTTAGAAATTAAAATTTAAATAGATCATATTCGGAGTTTGACTCACACAAAATTTAACTAATATTTTTATTATGGCTTTAAAGAATAGTATACAAATAGGTATTCCAGCCAAAACTGAGAAATTTAATAAGCTGTCAATGAACTACTAATAATTATTGTTTAATTTAAACTGAAACCAAATTTTAAAATGTTCAACAATTTTTTAAAGTTTTTAAATTTCTACCAAACATTTAAAATCATTTAAAATAAAGTATTTCTGTTAAGAATTCGCAGAAAGTTCATAAGGACTTTTCAATGCACATTCTTTAGTTGAGAAATTCTTCGGTTGTGATAATAGCTCCATAAATCATAAGGATAATAATATATAATAAAATAAAGTATTTATGTTAATTCGCCGAAAGTTCATAAGGACCTTTCAATTACATTACATTATTTAATTGAGAAATTCTTGGGTTGTGATAATAGCTCCATAAATCATAAGGATAATAATATATAATAGATAATAATATTATAATAAACAAATATTTTTAATTTTTAGCTACTTAATTATATTATGAGGAATGTTTTGTATACATTTTTCCGAGTGCCAACTTACTGTTTATATATTCGCCATTGTAGAGCCAGGAGACTTCCGGCGCGGGCATTCCCTCCACAAAGCAATTGACCAGTGCATCGCGTCCCTCGCGCACCGACTGCACTTGCTCCGTCTTTCCAAATGAGATTTTCTCTGCGGGTCAAGTCGAATGGGAAATTCCGTGTGTAAATATGCAGCCATGATAGCCCCCTTCCTACATCTATATATACAGTCTATATATATGTATATATAGCTAACCAGCTTCTTTGCTGCTTCTGTTTACTTGGTCTCTCTTTGATTGGTAAGTTGACAGATTGTGTGCTAGTTCATCGAGTTACTTTAAATGTGCCTGGCAAAGCAATCATTCTGATTTGTAAATACATTAAATGATTTGTCAGTCGGAAATTGGTCCGGAATTTCGTGCGAAAAGTGGTCGAGAAGATTGTGGCAAGTGGTTTAATGGCAAATGAAACTGCTGAAACTGAACTTTTTTATGAGCGTGAAAAAAAGGTTTTCATTTTATTTTATTTATTTACTTAAACTTGACTATGATTTTAAGGGGATGCAATTAAAATGGTGGTTTGACTTAAAAGCTAACAAATGTATTTAAAAGTAAGCCCCAAATGTATATGATTTTAAATCTATAAGGATTCCAAACAAAAAAATATCTGTAAGCTCATTAAACTTTTCATTCGTGCTCCGGAATTGGCAGACTTACTAAAGCTAAGTCCAAATCACAACTGAGCAAGTAAACAGATCCTACTGCAGCTTTTACGACCCGGTTTCTTTTATGTTCTTTTAGCCCCCAAAAGCTGAAGTGAACTTACGATTTACGAGCAGCTCGAAGGAGGCCAAAAATTCACGTTCAACATTGACATTCCGATTCCCATTTCTATTCCCGTTCACCTCGCAGGTCCAGTTGCCCCTGTCCTCCAGTGAGATGTGCTCGAAAACTAAAGCCAGAGGTCCTAAAACAAGGACGAATACAGAGACAAAATAGGTTATGAGTTATTATATTATTATTATGAGTTATATAGAAGTTAATACCTATGTAATACAATAAACTTAAGAATTTCAATTATAGAATTTAAAATTCTTTAATTCAGACCTTGCTATTTTATATATACGTTCTTTTTTTAACAAAAATCTATTTAAGAAAGCCAATTTAAATTTTTCTTAAATGTTGCTAAGCTAATAGACTATAGCCTACTTTGCAGTTCATATATAATTTATGTTCTTCCAAGTCAAACATTTTCTTTAGACACTCTTTATAGCTTCCTATTTTAATAATGATTTAATAAGCCAGCCATTATTCATATCCAGGTCATCCGCTTAGCTTTCTCCTTGTGTAAAAACCAGAAAGATAGTTTTGCATGGCAGCCAGTGACTTTATCCACTCCAGTGGGTCATTACTTCACCACTTACCCGTCGTCTTCTTCTCGATGTGGACGCGTCCTTTGGTGTTCTCACGGGTCTGTCCGCGGGGATCACGCCACTTGGTGTCGATATTCTTTTGTACTGTCTGGCAGAAGATGATGAAGGAGTCATTTACAAAATGCGTTATTGATGGCGTTGACGGCTGCAGACTGAGGGGGGAGTGGGCGGAAGGGCGGTGGGCGGCAGGCCAATGCCACTCCCCCCAATGAGGCTACTGTCCAGCTGGCCAAGGATTGCAGCTGAAAAAGGGCAAAATGGAACGCTTTTTGCATTAAATTTATCACTCTAACAAGGGGTTGAGCAGCGGGTGTTCTCGCCAGCTCATAAAATGTAATCATAATTTATATAGACAGCTGCTCATTTTTCCTATTTTTTATTTGTTTTGGCTTGCATTTAATTAGCTTTGCTGTCAGCAGTCAGTGAGTGAATGAATTTGTATATAGACATTTTGAATTCTTATGAAATATTCAAGGCATCAAAATAACCCATCTCTACTGAATTCCTCACTCCGCCTTCATAACCCCTCAACCTTTTGTGGAGCAGTTTTAATAGAAATTCTTATCTTGCATTTTCATTTCATTGTGTAATTCATAAAAATCAAGAGTTGGGGGAAAATATTACAAGCAATAAGAGTCTAAAGAATTTTGTAATAAAATGGGATTCTAAAAACTATCTATTAATAAATGTATTTCCTAATTACTTTTAAATGTATTGACTAAAATGGGGATTGTAACTATATAAATGAATTTGGTACAAAATAAAACAAAATTTGTTTCATAAATTTATATCCAAATTTTCAGTCGCCTAACGAGATAACCTTTTCTAGTAAATTTTTCGTTTTATTTGTTTGAATCTCTGTAAATTATAAAGTTAACTTTTTATTTAAAAACAATGTCCATGTTAAAAACCCAACACATATATTAATTTTTGTTGGTTTTATTAAATTTATTTAAATCACTTTTGTTTGTATATTAGCTAGTATTTTTCAATGATTTCATCATCTTTTTTATGACTGGTCCCAAAGCGAAAAATTCCTCAATTCCCCAAAAGGCGAGCCTATATTTTTTTGTAGTTGTGCCTCGCCTAGCAACCAAAAAACCCTTTAACCCCTGCCTTGACTACTTTTGCTGGCTAAAATTTCAGAAAAACAATTCCACAGTTTTTGTACAGACAAAATTGAAAATAAATATCCAAAACTATTTGCAAAAGGGATCAGAACTTGCTTTACAATATTTTGTTTGTATTTACTTTTTTCGGCATGCTGTTGACGGCTGGCTAAAATAATTATTGGTAATTGAATCTATTGGCACCATGTGGTAGTGGAAACGAAATATATTTGATATTTAATCTGCAGAGAGACTGATATTTTTTCAGCTTTATCTAAAAGTTTTTAGAGAAATTTCTGGCAATGAATTCGAGCTAAAAACCCGAGGTAAATAAACTTTTGATGGATAAACTACACCGAGACTTAATTTACCTAATGGAAGATAAACTTAAATCAAAAGAATCTTTATAATAAAAATAAATATAAGCACGCTTTTATTTGAAGTATGCAAAACTAATAATGTACATGAATAATATGTTATTTCTCAACAAGGATCCACATGAAATTAATCAATTATGAGTTACATTTCAACGAGGCTGCTAAGAACCTTTGGCAAATTGATTTTTAAAATTTCATCTATTATTGGTTTGCTCTTTTCGCTCTCAATCAATAAACCCCATTCCCTTTGCCTTTAGAAATACTTAGACCAGAGTGCATCAAATCCATCAAATTGAATTTAATAATATTTTATTTGATAGGTAGGTAGTCTGTGTGCGGCAAATGTTCAAGTAAATCCAATAAAAATTCAAATTCGCCTTTTTGAATTCGTAAGCAATATACAAGCACACACATAAACGGAGGTACATTTTCTGCAATTGGATTGTTAAGGTTTGCCTCCTTTGTGCGCTGCATATCAATCAAGTTTAAGATGATGAGGGGCCAAAAGGAAAGGGGTAAGTAGGTTTTTAGAGGTAATATATTTTTAGAATGGTAAACTGAATTTATTATGCAGGAGATTCGTAGATTTCGGTTATTTGCGATTGCATTTTATCTAGATGTCTTATTTGGATATTAAAAGAAGAAAATTTAATATGCTTAGAAATTTAATTTAATTTGGTGTTTTTTTTTGTAAATATTTCTTGAGAACAAACTGTAAAATAAGTGCAAATAATAAAATTGTGTAACCATTTCCATTTACATGCTTGAATATTTTACAGAATTTATTAAAAACATACTTTCTCTTCTTTTGGTAACAATTTATAGTAAATATAAAGAAGGGTAAACAAATAGGGTTGGCCCTCTTCTACATATATTAGCATTTTAAGCCAGGTCTGATATGCATCAGTTGTGAATCTATCTTTTAAGATTTTCCTTTATATTTTTGGTCTCCAGACATATTTTCCAGCCTATTTAGTAACTTGTTCCTTTTCTTGACACACTTCAAAGCTTGTCAAGTGACTTGAGTTGGGCACAACCTCTTTTTACCCCATCCCAGGCACGCTTCCGTTGCCGTAATGAATTCCTTCGCATGATTCCCATGAAGCGTTTCATCTTTGAGGGCCACATGGCCATGGGCTAATTTGGGTGAAGGTTCCTCCGACGCTGACAAAGCGCTCACACATGGCTTGCTTAGCATCACTTAGTGCCTGTGCATCTCCTCTGCCGCCCAACATTTTCCATTGCATTCTTTTGGGCTGAGAGCGAAATGGGCGTATGTGTAATATTTCCATGCCACATTGCGTAGCCGCAACAGATAAAAAATGAATGTTTGGTCAGAGACAAGAGAAGTTTGTGAAAAAAGAAAGTTCGCCCCAATGAAATGTTTCCTTTGAGAGGTTGATTCCGCTACATTTGAAAGCAGATTTGCGGCAGCCAGAAAAAGCAAATATTTGTCTTAGTTGGATGAGCACGAAAAGAACCAAAGTTTAAGATAAGAACGGCCATAAATGTTTTTAAAAACGAATAGTTGGAAAAATAAAGTTTCCCTGTTTGAAGAATTTTTTACCAAACCCAAAGTAATCATTTGTACTAAAGTAAAAATAAAAGTAAGCAAATGAAGGTTTATAATATCTAATTACCATTTCAAAAAGCTAATAAACTTATCTTCTGTATACAAAAACTTCAATGTTCCTTTAATATTTTGAAAACTTTTTAAATTTCCAAAAAAAATCCTATTTTTAGTATTATCTGAATTTCATCTAAAATATTTAATCGTTCTTTCGGCATTACTTAACTATTTAACTCATTATAAAAGTCTAAAAGAAATCCGCAAACACATCAGCACACTCTCATAAATACGCAAACAAAGGAGTGCCAAAAGTTTTGCCAAAACAAATGAACTCATTTGGCATTCAGCTATGAATTTCATTATTATGAAGACAAAGAGAGTTGGAAAACAAAATGGAAGTTGAACCAAATATATTTTTGTCCAGAGTGTTTGTTCTAAAGGGGTGCTACTTAATGTGGGAAAAATGAAAGCCGTCTTGGAAGATCCAAGCTTATCCTACCATTTTGGGAGAGGAGCAGCAACAGCAGAGAACAGAGCGCAATCAGAGTATCCATAGCTCAGCCGGTGGTATATCCTTTATTTGACTATAATCCTTAATGGTTAATTTCACTAAGTCTCGCTTCTTTGCAGTGAGTTTATTACACGTTTTTGTTCGGTTGACTTTCGCAGTTAATTACGATGCTGTTCACTTGAGGGATAATGGCACATGACTGAGCCGCTCATGTGTCATCCGTGGCCGGAAAACCGGCAACAACACTACTTTCACTTTTGGCCAGGAAAATGGTATGACATCATCATCCAGCTCAGGGCCAACATTTTTGCTATAAATTATTTTTTTTGGCTATTTTGTTTTGTGGTTCTTGGCCTGCCCGCTTATTTTTTATCTTCTTCTTAAGCACTAGCACTCGACGAGGAAGCACTTGGATGGAAGGAAGCCACCGGGAGGTTGGAGGGACCCGCGTAGGTTGACATATCCGGCAAACATATCCTGCCAGCGATTTGCCTCGCCTTACGTTCAATTCTCGCGCTCTACTTGGCTGATTGTCGTAGCCGCCGATGGGGAATCCCCTGATCCATTGCAGGCGAACGTCGAGATTCGACTGAAAGTGCACCGCAGGACATTCGGCATCCACGGCGGATGCTTAACGAAGTGCGAGTGCGAGTGCGAGTGCGAGTACGAAGTCCTCGGGATGACTTCCTCAAATTGCGAGTCCTTCGAATGTCGCTGCCGCGTTCACGTTCAAACCGTTGCGAAATCAGAAAGTACACTGAAGTCATCGCTCGTCCTGTCGCATCCTTTTTGTCCCATCGCCAGAAAGTCGGCCCGAAAAGGGAAAACTTCATTTAGTAGGTGCTTCGCTATGTTGGCACACTTTTCGTCGGCGCTTCAGTTGGCAACTTATTTATAAGCACTTGTTTCTAAACATTTTCAGTTCGAAATGTTGGGGGAGGTTTTGACAGCGGCAAGGATTTTTGGGGTGAAAAGCATCCTTTAAGCTTTTTGTTGTCAGTGCAAAAGCTTTTATACAACAGGACATGTTTCAACTTTATGAACATTTGCCATAAAGTAAAATGTAAGTTATAAAACTGTGTATATTTTGTACTGAAGTGGAATACTTCTTCTGAATATTGACGAAGAAAAATTTATTACATTAAATCCCATTTTTTGTATTAGTTAAAGATTTTCATTAGTTTATTAGCTCCACTTGGCAGTAGTGTGGCTCTATTCCCGTATAACAGTAATGAGACTGTTATAAAAATTAGCTTTGGCAATATAACATTAAAAATATTATAGCAAAAAAACCAAGTTTCAGATTTCATTTATAAAAAAATAACATTCAAACAGCTTTGCCTTTATGTTGTATTTAAGCTTTAAGTCTTCGAAACTTTTTATTTAACAAATTTCAAAGAAATGTACTACAATCTAAAATTATAATTTGTTTTATAAAGAAATCATACTGCTTTTTAAAAAGAGAGCCAATAAAAGGGATATAAGTCATTGCATCAATATCAAAAGTTTATGTAATAAAAAAGAAAACAAAATTGATTTTCATGTAAATATCGAAAATCTTTATTCAGTGAATCCGGATGTTTTAATCAGCCGTAGTAGACGTACGGGGAGGCGTAGCCCACGGCCGGATAGCCGGCGGAGTAGACAAACTGGGGCACCGGAGCGGGATTGGGTCCTGGAGCGGGAACAGCCATGGCAACGGCCAACAGGACGGCGAACAAGAGCACTACCTGTGGGCGCAAAAGTAGGCGAAGCACTCGTTCAGAGATTACAGGATCAAAGGCGAGTGTCCTGCGGCAAATCAAATACTCACCAGCTTGAACATGTTGATGAAAGGGTTAATTCTCTGACTTGACAAACAAAATCGAACTGCACTCAATGTTTGCCCGACTGCAGCCTTTTATATTCACAAACATTACCTATATTCAGACGGATATAAGCCGCTTTGCCTCATCGCTGACTGCATCGCATTTTTATATTCCGTATGCATTCACGCCGGCCAAGTTTATGGCTCATTACGGCTCTTAACGCGTTCGCCTAATGCCTGCCAAACGTACTGAGCACAAAGAACGTTATTGTTTCTTAATCTGTGTGCCTGACGACATCGCCACCATCATCATTATCATCAGTAAGTATCCCCCTCTTCCGCCCAAAAATCCACTTTCCGTAATAGCCCCTTCCCCAAAAACTCCAAAATGTGTGTCGTTCTTTTTGTCAACTCACTCTCCTTTCGTTGACTCTTTTTTATATCGGCTTTTGGTTTCGTTTTGGCCGCCGGCAAACATTTGGCTTTATTGTCAATTCGATCGATTTGGGAGTTTAAGAATACATGATTTGGCAAAATGTATGCAATACACTTGCAGCCGGAATAGAATTCGATGAGATAAGAGGATTTACTCTAGTTATTGACATGAAAGGCAACCTAAATGATTACGTATCTTTAAAGTAAATTAACGTAAGATTAAGAACTGTGCAACAGTTGTTAACAAAAGTTGGCATTTCTTGTTTTTTCTACAGATAGGATTCCTTGAATTAATTTTCTATCTTTTAAAGGGCCTTTTATCTGATAAGAGCGCTCGAAATCAAAATCAAAAACTCTCAAATAATAAATTAGAAAATAGTATTTAGATACTATAAGAATTGAAAATAAATAACTCAATAAATCAATCATAATTATATACATATTGTCTTACTTTCTTTAAAAAATGCATTTTGAATGCATTCACTTCAAAAATAAATTAAATTACTGATTAAATATTTTTATTATATTTTGTTTATCCAAATAATGTGCCAATTTATTACCAATTACAATTATTAATTATACCTCCAAAAACTTATCTTCTTTAAAAAAACCTCAACAAACACAGTATAATTCCCAATCTCATTCTGACAATGTCCACAAAGCATTAATCACCTGAATGGTAGCCCAAATCTGAGAACACAAATTCCCAATTAAAATGCAATGAGCGTAGTTAGAAATATTCTCCAGTCGCAGGTTGAAAACACGTTCAAGGCCAATCTATATCTAAGCGATTCCATCATCAGAGATCGGCAAAGAATAAGAAGTCATTAGAATGCAAAGGAAATTTTTGTTTTGGGTTGACAAAAACTATCGCAGTGAAAATAAAAACAAATCTAAAGCCGAATGATGTGAGCAAAACAGAAATGGCCATAAATCCGATCAGAGCCCAGAAGTGCGACATCATAAATAAGTCATGAGTGCGAATTTTGGTAGACTGACAGAGGACTATATAAGCCGGCAGAAAAGTGGAGAACAGCATCAAATCACAATTTGCAATCGCTACACAAGCACCTCAAGTCCTCAAAACAAACAAAATGTTCAAGCTGGTAAGTTAAAGAAGAATATAGTAATATCCTTGTTTAAAACTAATAATACAAATGTTAAGATTGAAAGAGCCTTAAATTTAATTTGCTTACGAAACTTTACGACTCTAGTTTGATTAGACTTAATTCAATAAATAAAAATGCTTTTACCACTTTTTACAACTTCTAGCTGGTTGTTGTTTTCGCTGCCCTCTTTGCTGCTGCTCTGGCTGTCCCCGCACCAATTCCACGGGCCAATCCCGCCCCAGTTCCAATTGCTAGTCCCGAGCCCGCCCCGCAGTACTACTATGGAGCCAGCCCGTACGCCTATTCCGGAGGATACTACGCTTCCCCCTACTCCTACTACGGCTAATTGACCAGGACAATGCAAACCAACCAACGACTCGTGATAACGCATCAGAATACGGATTACGGAATATGCGCGTGCTGACAAATCAAATTAGTCATAAGTGCTTTAAAAAATGCAAAAAAAAAGTATTGAGCAAATAAAATGTTGAAGTGCAAAATTTAGCTTGGATTTTTTATGATGGGAGTTAAAACTTTCTCCATCTCATGAAATATTGGTCAGCGCGAAGGGCCAACGAGAATTGTGGACTGCTTTGGACGGCTGAAGGCCAAGCGGTTCCATGGTGTAATGGTTAGCACTCAGGACTCTGAATCCTGCGATCCGAGTTCAAATCTCGGTGGAACCTGATTAAGAAATTACTATTTTTTTTTTTTTTTGTATTATGTTTGTAATTATAAATATTAACAATACATAAGAAAATCATGTTTTTTATATTTTTATATCCTTAGTATAAGACTAGGTGAGCATTTTCTATGTTTTTAGCATTCTTTTGATTGTAGCTTTTTAGATACTCCTTTTACCATTTAATGCTTGCAATTATATATAAAGATTGATTTTAAAGTATTTAACTTTATTGAAATATATATTATATATCTTGTCGAATTCATTCAATACGTTTTGTCAAATCAACATTTTTTTGTCCGTGGTAGAATGTTTGTGGGTTTTGTCAATCAGTATTCAAGCGGTTCCATGGTGTAATGGTTAGCACTCAGGACTCTGAATCCTGCGATCCGAGTTCAAATCTCGGTGGAACCTGAGTTTAAGTAATTATTTTTATTTTTTTATTTATTATCTTAATAAAATACATTCTTCAACAAGTGCACTCCATAGATCTTATAATTGAATAATAATTCATTTTATAGAAATAAACGTGGAAAATAAAGTACTTCAGATGGGTTGTTGTATTTGCTTATTGGTTGGTGTTCCCGCTAAACAGCTGTTTTCTGTTACTTTTGTGAATGGCAAATATGTATTATTTTGGTATCAGAATGACAGTTGCAGCCAAAAACGAAGAAGAAGTGCATTTATTTTTGCTCTCGCTGCATTTTTGCACCACTGCGCTTTTTTCTGCATAAACCATATCATATCGAAAGTAATTTAACACCCTTTGAAAATATGCTCGCTTTGTTTAGCGCGTGTGGCAATGGATAGTGTTTGCTCGGATATTGTTGTCGTTCGTAGCGCCAAAACAAAGATTTAATATTGCTGCTAGAAAGAGACAGTTGCGCGTTTTATCGGGATTTTTGAGATTATGTTGAAACGCTCGTTGAAAGTGTTAATTGCCGTGGTGTTGAGCTTAATGTTTACCGTTTCGCTGGTAAAGATAGTGCTATTGATTTGGTCCTACCATCCCAGCGCCCCCCACACTGCCCCACCCCTCCCCACCGTCGACGAATGGCTAGACTCGGAGAACCTATCAATATACAAAAAGCTGTTTCGCAATAAAGGTGAGTCGGTAGTTAATTGCTTTATTATTGCCCAGTCGATGGACTGCGCCTTATCCTACGTTTAATGTCGTTGTCTTTGGCTTTTGTTTATACTTATTAATTTGTTGTATTTGCTGTTAGGGTCGAGTCTCCCCCTCGGTTTCTTTCCCGCCCACTAAAACTTTTGGTACTTTGTTGACTATTTAAGCTTTGAAAGCTTTCTTAACACACGTGCTGTGATAAAAACTTGTTGTGTTTGAGCGAAAAATTCAGCTAACATCGTTTATTTATAACGACTATTTTATTTACTTATTTAAATAAAAGAAAAAAAAGAATTGCTTAGTCAGGTTCCACCGAGATTTGAACTCGGATCGCAGGATTCAGAGTCCTGAGTGCTAACCATTACACCATGGAACCTCGCTGATCTTCTGCTTTCCCACACAGAAGTAAAAATATTTCCTAAGATAGACTATTACCTGTCTTTAATTAATATATTTGAAAATCTAAAAAATAAAAAATAAATACAAATGCATAAACAAATGGGAGAAAAATAACAAAAAAATCTTTCGTCTAGGTTCTACCGAGATTTGAACTCGGATCGCAGGATTCAGAGTCCTGAGTGCTAACCATTACACCATAGAACCTCTATGAAATATGACAGAAAAGTGGCAGTTTTTTAATGAATATACCTAACTTCTCCACCAATGATCATAGAAGAGAAAGTGGCTTACAGAAATTCCCATCTATTTATAGATGTCTTTGAGTTGCTATTGATAAATTGGTGATGATAAAACGATTCTGTTGCTATGGCTGAAAAAAGAAATTCTTGATAAATAAGTCTTTGAACTTTGGAATTAATTAACCCTATAAAAAACAACGTGATATACACATCAGTAATGAACCTAAAAATGGGTGTAAACTTTAAGGGAAAACAACTTAAAAAAACTATATTTTACCCACATATATTTTTCAGACGTTCTACTCTAACCTTTTCGTTCTGGGTTTACCGTAAATAATAAAATAAGCTAATCAAGCAGATGGTGCCGTGCCTAATGATAATGTAATTTTAATAAAGCGCGCCAAACAGTAAACAACCTGCTGGATTTGGCCTGGGTGTGGGATTAAACGAGGGGAACCAGGATGCAGAAAAAGCTTTTCTTTCCGAATCGGGTCCTCGTCAATTTTCGGCTCCATTCGCAGGGCACGAGCGTTTTCTGTGTCACTCGGCTTCGGTTTTCGGAGTCTGGCTTTCGGTATAAAATCAATCGTAAATGTCCTTAAGTGCTCAGTTTTGGTTTTACTTTGAGACGCGCTGGTTTCACATTTCCAAACGCCTGGGAAATCGCCGCGCTGTTTCCCCGTTTTTCTTTGGTACAACAGCAAACCCAAATAATAATAAAAAAAAAAACAAAACCAACACAGAAATAAACCAATAACAAGCATCATAAATATGGCCGAAAAACGCCAAAGTTAGGATTTGTTGTGCTACATCGCGTTTAGTTTTTACTCGGGTTTTGCCTTACTTTTCCTTTTTTCCACGCAAAAGTTGTCAAAACATATCGTGACAACGAGGACAATACTGCCACGAAAAAACCCTAACCTACATAAGGAAGCACGTGTTTTTTGAAACCTCCCCCGCAGAATTCGTTCCATTGAGACACCCACTCAAAGCTAATGATCCATAGCTAATCTCTGCTAATACGCACTGGGTCCAAAAATGAATGCATGTAGAAAGCAAATTTCGCGGCGAACAATTTTCCACATTTTGGCATATTAATTTTTTATTGTAGGTGTGGCCGGGGAAGTGAATTTTCCCCCACTCGTCCTTACACTTCAGTGCGCAGCTATTTTATAGGTCTCCAACCTCCACCAGGACTTGCCTCCGTTGTGTTTTCGGCTCGTGTGTTCCATTATCCTATCTAAATAAACCGACTGACTCATCTTCAGTTTGTTCAATGTGTGTGCACAGCGAAATATTTCGCAAATAAAGAGTGACAATTATTTAAACTAGATCATTATTTCTAATGACATAATTAAAACTGTTTTCAATTTGATTTTCACTTTTGCTATTTTAATTGCTTGAATTTTGAGTTATAGAAAGTAAAATCGGTATAAGAAAATGTTCTGTAAGTTATGACATATTTAACTAAGAAAATGGGTACTTCAAAAGTACAGTTTATATAATTTGAAGATACAAAAAAAAGGAGTTTAATTAATACGAAAAGATAGTTATTCAAATTTCACAACTCTTATTTGAAGCATAAAACTAGAATTAAAAGTCTTTTATTTAATTAAATGTCTTCCTTTTATTTTAACCAAAATCTAGTTTTAATTTTCTTTTCTGTAATTGCGACTTTAACTGTCATTCGGTGTCGTTATTGTTGCGGTTTCTCCTTTTTTTGGCTCGGACAGATCGGACCGCTCATAAAGAACTAATTGGCAATTAATTTTGATGACAGTCGTCCCTCCCACATTTCTCCATTTCGCACTTGACCATGTCCACTCGAATTCTTGATGTATGGCTATGTTCCTTTTATACACACGCGCTTAACCTTTAAATCGCATTTACTTTTGACCTGCATATTAATTAATGAGTTAACAGCACGAGAGAAAAAGGGACTTGTGCGGTCAATTATGCATAAAGTGGCTTTTGGGGAATGATTTGTATAAGGTATCTAAGTATTAATGTTTGGGGAGCCGTCAGGCAAAAGTTGTCCAACCCGTTCTTATGTAATGCTAAAGAATGTGAACATAAAGTGACAAAAGGTTGTCAGACAAGAATTTATTTATAGAATATAATTTTTTTTTTAATATTTTAGTATTCAACATGCCAAAATTAATAGACTTTTATTTTAACTTAAACTTTGAAGAATAATAATTTCCAAAAGAAAATATTATGTAAAAAAGAGATAATTTCTCAGGTTCCACCGAGATTTGAACTCGGATCGCAGGATTCAGAGTCCTGAGTGCTAACCATTACACCATGGAACCTCGCTGTCTGCCCGCCACTAAATCGATCACTTCTAAAGGTGAAAACAATGAGAGGAAAACATTTGCATATTTCCATAAAGCTAGAAATGCGAGACGATCAAAATTGGCTGCCCAATCGAAAAGGGAGAAAAGGAAGGAAAATACTGGAAAGTGGAGAGCCGGAAGCATTTAGTTTGTGCGACAAAAAGAGGAAATAATTGTTTGGTAAACATTGACCAATGTCCGTCGAAGGCAGAGAAAGCAAACAAAGTATTTCCATTTCTTGGTTTTGCGGACCGAAAACCTTTTTTGCTTTCTGTTTTTTTTGTTTGTTTCATTCCGGCCTGCAAGGAAATTAAAAGGAAATTGCGCTTGTTTTGTCGGGAAAAGGGGCGGCGGGTGGATGGTGTGGGTGTGGAGTATTCGGCTGAGCAAATTAAAAGGTTTTTATACCCCAGCTGAGAGCCTGCGGAGACTCGCAAGCAGTTAAAAATGACACAAGTGCCAAGAGACAGAACACAAAGTGGAAAAAGACAATAAAAACACAAAAAAAAAAAAAAACCCAACAAAAACACCAAGTACAACAGTAAAGGCACCAAAACAACAACAAAAACACCAAGAAACACAACAAAAACCAAATGGCAGACAAAAACAACAAGGGCTACACATGTGCAAATAACAAGAGGCATCATTGTGGGTCCCTCCTTCTTGCTCACACTCAGTTTCTCTTTACTTTCGCCTCTCCCGCCCTCTCTATACCTTTCTCGCTTTAACGCTCGGCCTATCCCTCCCTCCCTTTCTCTCACTGGGGTCTGTAACAGTTGCAACTGTTTTTGTATGTAGGCCAAAGATGTCAGAACGGAAACCCGCCTCCTGCCTGTTCTGCATCCCTCTCGCACCACACTGTCTACGGTGAATCATCGGTAAATCAAATCTCCATATGCCACTTAATAACAAAAATTTAGTTGTTTTCCCGTCCAAACTTTCTATCGGCTTAAATATATTTGAAAACTTAAAAAAATATCAGTTTGTTCATATGTAATATCCATAATTCTATTAAATATATTTAGCAATCTTTTTGGAGCTTTTGGTGGTCCTTTGAGAGTGTCAATGCTCTGTAATACCACTTTAAGTTCTTTATATAGAATTTCAACCGTACCTATCTATTATGTGTCTCCTCAGCGCTGGCGGCGCTCTTCTGCGGTTAGTTATCATTATTGCCATGGCCCTCGACAGCATTTTGTGGTATATCCTTGTTGTAGCTTTTGTTCTTGTCGCATTTGTCAGCCACAATTATTATAATGCAGCAGCCAAGTTTCCCAACATCTCGCACTGGCTTTAGCCGCCTCCTTCATTGCGAAATTATCATATTGTTGGTTGCTTTTGTTGCGTCCTTGAATGAACAAACAAAGCGTATGGGGAAAAAACAAAAAAACATTTGCGCATTTCAACGCAAAAGATTATTTTCAACTTGCATAACAACGTCGGAAAACAACAGAAAAAGTGAGCAAGCGAAAGAAAATGAAAAACAGTTTAGAGCTGTGTTTATGAGAAATGGAAAATGATATCTTATTTGTGATACCCTGGAAAAATAAGGGTTCCTCACTAAAATCCATGATATAAGATTGTAACATGTAGGTTACTTTTTGTATCCTAATTGAAACGAGCGAAGCCTTTTTAGTTATGCACAATCTTAATTTGGTCGAACAAATAATGTTTTAAAAATATTTGTTGCCTACTTTAGGGCATATGAATTTAAAATTTTTTTCGTAAGCACCTCCCAATTACTTATTTTTGGCTTTTTTTAAATTTGCAGTTGTTTGCCCAATATTCCCCGTTATGCAGGGTGGCAAAAAACTTTGCCGCAGTCTCTCAATCTCGCCGCATTTCCATTTCCCCCTTAGTCTTAGCCTTTCTCCATCTCCGACTTTCCCGACCTCAACTCATTCCTGGCCCCCAAAATCCTCGCCCCTTTTCCCTCTTCTCTGGGCATTAACATAAAGTACGCATTTCGACCCGTCTTTGCACTAAAGAAATTTGTAGTCATAAAA